TTTTAAGGCTGTCTTCGTTACTATGTAACACAAGTAATAGGTTATCTTTTAAGTGGCTGATTAGCACCAAAACACCCCCACGAAAACAAACGAGACTTCCGCCACTTAAAAATACTCTGTGTAGAGAGCAATGGCGGACACTGCTACAACAGGTACGCCATGCCATGAATCAGTTTCCAAGCTCGCGTTTTGATTAAACTTCCGCTCGCGTTTTGTCATAGATGCTGCTCCTGCATGGATGTATGGTACTCCAACCGGCACCGTAATAAAAATATCTGGCCGCTCATGCTGTAAGCTCCGCCCACCACCCTCCCTCCCATTCCCTCCGTTTCCATGCTAAAATCTCACATTTACCAAAAGATGTCGCAACTCCTCCTCCCGCCCCAACCACATGTCTGCTCCTAATTGGCGACGTATGGGGCTACGACGTCCCAAACTTACGTCTCCTAGCCGACTCGTTCGCGTCACAAGGGTTTCTCGTCATCGTGCCTGACTTGTTTGATTCAGACAAGATTGTCCTGCCAGACAATTACATCCACACGCAATTCTTCCCGTCCAAAACAGTCTGGGGACGGTTTGTAGAGGGGTTGAAGTATTATGGCAGCTTGCCGACGTTTATCAAGTTTGTGGGGAGACATGATGCTGGTAAATGCTGTGGTTTGATGTATGTTATAGAGATGTTGACGTGTTTTTTTTGGGTAGCGAAAACAATCGACATGGCAACGCCGCTCATAGCTGAAATCAAGGCTACGTATGGGGTATCCAAGATTGGTGTTTGTGGATGTGCGTCCAAACCCCCCTATTACCTTGTACCCTTCACTCACACACTCACATGCACTACAGACTGCTGGGGCGGTTCAGCAGCAGTCTACCTCGCAACCACATCTCTAGCCGACGCAAGCTGCATCTCCCACCCAGGCCCATTTCCAATATCCTTGTTGGACAAGATCCGGATGCCAACGTTGTGGATTTGTGCGGATAGGGATAATTTGTTTCCTAGTAAGGGTGCAGTATCGTTAAGAGGAAAAGCATGTTGAGTGTTGCTAAGGACTTTTGTTGGTAGAGACGAAGAGGATACAAGTTGAAGCTATCTTGAAGAAGAAGATGCCTGATGATTGTGAATTCGTTCCCTAGTATGTGTCTTCATATTTACTTTTGTTGTTGTCGTGTAGCGTGGAGTTTTCTTTTGCATTATTGCTGTCTCAGCATTCTCAGAGTAATCTGGTCTTTTTTTTTAGCCCAACGATGCTTCATGGATTCGCAAAGTACGTGCTATTAGTCTATTGATCTGCGTTCTTGAAACCTTTGGTTTTGACCCCCCAACCTCATACTAGTCGTGGAAACGAAGGAGACGCCGAAGCCCAGAAGAACATGGAAGACAGTAGAGAACGAACACTCAAGTTCTTCACTACGCAACTGTAGACCCGTCGAATACCTCTTGATTCTAAAACACTTTTGAAACCCTTCTTTTATTTTGGTTATTCACCTGTGCTATTACACTTTTTAGAATTTTTTTGTTATTTTTTGCTTTGTGTGTTGACTAATAATCTCCTAATAAACCCCATGATCACTCTTCCCTCATCATCACAAATCCCTCCATCATCCGTTCATCATTCACTACAAATCTGCCTCGTATCTCAAAATCTAATATGATACTTTTATCTGTACTGGCTTGCCATCTGTGTAGGCAACAAGACTGCAGCAATGGTATGGTCGACTCCTTTATGCATTCGTTTATGATGAGACTTCAAGTTGGGAAGAGTGAAACTTTTTGATCTTGGACATAGTCTACACCTCCAGCATGCTCTGGCACGGATATTTGCCCTAAAGGTAAGTGGCGCGTGTTAGTGTTGAACCCAAAAAACGAGACTGGAAACAATGTCTCGTAGAGTGAGTATTGCAGCGACTCACAACAACACTCACCTGATAACCTTGACACTATTAAACTCACGAACCATCAACTCTTCCAAAGTCGTCGAAGTAACCAACAAACGTGTTCGATCTCCCGGCTGTGGAATATCTTCATGAGCTTGGTTGAGATGCACGATAGCATCATCCAAATTAGCAATCAAGGTAGGGCAATTCAGACAATGGAAGTGATGGTTTCCTGGTGGTACATCAGCTCGTGTGGTTACTAGCTTTTTCATGTCACTGTGTGGTTTTACTATTTCGGTATCGAATTGTCGTACTAGTTGCGTGAGGAGTTGAGCCCATTCTTGGCCGTTGCTAGTTGGTGGGACGGTACGACTATAGTTGATGACGTGCTGGACAGGGTTGTACTGGTTGAGAAACATTGATCGTTCTCTCACGTCCCAGAGTTTGCCAACCATCCCCATGATTAGCTGTGTTCGTCGTGCCCTGGTTGCTGCGGAGATTTTTGGCACGTTCTTTGTTGGAGACATGGACAGCTGCATCAAGTCCTACAATGAAGTAAAACGAAGAAGAGTGAGCGTCTGTGCGTCCATCCAATCAACGAGGTTTGGTGGTCTTTCTTGGCATTCAATGTGTCCAAAAAAAAAGCCAGATGCAGTGGCCTCCAAACGAGCCAGAGATGCAAAAATCGACAATTCACTTACATAGAGGCGTGGAGCCTGCCCATCGTGAAGTTTGATATGTTCAAGAAACTCTTTGTATTCATATGGCCTATAAGGACAGAGCAAACACTTGACTTCCAACATTGCAATCTCCTGCTCATTAGTTCCAAGTCTCGCCAATGCCTGAGCTCTTTCGTTGCTAAGCTGTGTTACCAATGGTGCTGCAATTTTGTCCAACCTTTGCACCCACCAAGGACTCAGATCAGCTGGAATTGGCATATCTTTATCGGAAGCTTCTATAATTCGACGAGACTCTGGTAGCGACATCAGCCGTGAGATAGGTGGCGCTTCGAGTTTTAATTCACTAACTGCATATCTTGTGAAATGGCTTTGTAATAGTATAGTTCTAGTTTTTCGGCGTTCAGCTTCACGGTGTTGGCGAATGTCCTTGACAAGTTTAGGTTTAATAATTACCCAAACTTGATCGGTAATGGGAGTGAGTCTGGTCATGAGTGCTGTATATGTTTCGGAGCGTTCTAGTTCTTCCTTGGTCCATTTATATTCAGCACCACGAGTTTCAATTTGTTTGAATCGAAGGTCTCGTTGATTTTCAAGATTGTCGTGCTCTATCTTGGCTGTGATGATTGGCATCTGCTGGGCTTGAGCCAAGGCACGTGCATAGACTTGTTGCCTGTGTTTGAAAAAGTGAGTGAGCCAATGGTCTGGATACACATTTGGACGACCCAGTTTTGCTTACTCTGCAGCACGACAAGGAGGACATAGTCTCTTCTTCAGATGGAACTGAATGGTAGTATCAGTCGTCCTGTCACAATTCATACAATTCTTGTTGAGACCCAATCCAAGCATTTGCTTCCTAGTGAGGCCCAATTCAGGAGAAGCGACAATCTCTCGAGGTGCTACTGTATTCCACAACCTGTAAGCGTCGACAGCTTCATTATATGTTTTGCAAGACGTTTCAATCTTTCGAAGCGTCTTGGCATCTATAATAAGGCGAGAGGACAAATTTTGTTTCCGAGTCCATGAATACGAGCCTAACTCAAAGAAACGGCTCACCTGCATATTCAAAGATCTTGACCAAAAGCTCCAATGGCAAAGACTCGTTTACAATAGCAACATCCTCCTCCTCGTCATCGTCTACAGGGATTGGCAGAGCAACTAGCGAGTCAAAGGTAGCCAGTGCGGTATCGGAAGGCACACCAAAATTATGTTTTGAAATATGACGACCTATATGACGCATATCATCTCGTTGCCTTCTAGGTAATGTACGCCACATGTCTTCAGGATCATCCCATTCTTCCATCTCGGAGTCAATGTCAGATCCGTAATGGTCTTCAAAGTGTTGATGCATCCAATGTGGATAGTCGTCACCGAATTCACCGTATTCTTCTTCGTCGTCGTCAAATTCATCCATGTTTGTTTCTAGATGTTGATGGGTTTTGACAGTATCGAAGTGACAAGATGGTCTTACAGATCTGCTCTATAGTCGGACCCTATTACATTAAAAGTTGGTCAGGATGGATATATGTATGTATGATTTCCAACTGCGCATTAAGTGATTTAATCAGCACTTGATTTTGAAAGCGCGTTTGAACAAGCAATACTTGAAGAAAGGGCAACGGTAGATACCTTTGTAGTATGTCCAGATACAACGAGTATAGGCCACTGAGCTCCTCTTATAGGGAATCCTTACAACACTTCAAAGGTTTTGTTTTGTTTTGTTGTTGACGATATGGCAAGAGTGACTGCAGCAGAAGGTACTTCTTCAACCTCAATTTCACGTCTTGAAAGAGCTATTTTCTCGTGATTTCAGCACACAAATGTGACAAAATACAAAATGACGCTAGTAAGGAATATCACGATTACAACTCTGCTAAAACACGTGCATGGTAGCTGTAAGCTTCGTTTCCGACAAAAATCTCGATAAAACCACCATTGACACCATCAAAAAACAATGCAGCGACTACATGAGATCAAATTTTCTTTCATTTTCAGCTTTCAGCTTAATGGAGCAGAATTGCGCTACGTACGCCATAAAGCTTCAGTGTGTTAACTGTAATGTTCCACACTTGAGAATTTAGATTCCGTCAAGCAACAGATAATGGCAAAGGAGGAGAACCAATTAAGGCGTAGCATCATCTTCCAAGAACCATTTTAGTCAAATGGTAAATGCAATTCACATTTTGATGTACTTCTCTCGATTGGGCATCACAACAAAACGCGTTGGACGCAATGACACTTTGTTTCCCATTTGAATAGAGGCTACTGACACCAATGTTGAGTGAGAGCAAAGGTTTCAGCAGCCGTGTCTGATTCTAAAAGACTTTTTTTCGCTCTCAGCACGGAATGCCATTTGCAAACACGCATCTCACACTGTAAGTACCTCTCACTCTCATATATTAGCTCAAAATATATAAAACCGCATCCTTTACACAACCCCCCTTCTTACTACCTCAACATATTACTGCCAGCGGTATAGTGCAACAGCTGCTGCTGACTAACCTGTGACCCCCAATCTCCACATATATACTCAAATCCTCCAAACTCGCCTTGCTCTTTATTCGACAGGCGGCCCCTCATTTGAGTAAACATTGGCGTTTCTCGTGTAAATTCGCCATCGAAATTTGAAGTGTCGTATGCATTTTTCTATCGGTTATGAAAACGGCGTTAGCAAAGCGAGCAAAAAAGAACGATACGCTCAAAGGTCGTAAAGGACGTATGGAAACCATTGACCGATACACAACAAACTCACCCTGGAAGGTACAAACGGCGGCGGCACCCTCATACTCAACAACGCATTCCAATCAACCTTAAAAAACCACGGATGCATCTTAATCTCATCTGCATCTCTCCTTCCCGATCCCAGCCGTCTCGTCGGATTAACCACCAGCAGCTTTAGTATCAAATCCTTCAAATCAGCATCCGGTTCAACAGGAAACCGTAGCGGTTTGGTACTAATCTCCTTCAAGTAGTCTTCTTCCTTGTTACCCTTGTATGGATAACTACGGAACACGAATACGTATAGCATGATACCGTACGACCACCAGTCGACGGCACGGGTATATTTGGACCCAGTGAGGATTTCTGGAGCCATGGTATCGAGGGTTCCACAGAATGTTCGTGTGGTGGAGCCGTAGCCAATGTTTTCTTTGCAGACGCCATAGTCGGCTAGTTTTATGTGGCCTTCGGGAGAGAGGAGGACGTTTTCTGGTTTTAGATCCCTGTTGAATATGAAATTCGTCGATTTTAGATCACAAGCAGAAAAAAGCCTGGATACTGTTAAGCACGTACCGATAAACGATACTATTCTGATGCAAGAACTCTAGCGCCAACAACAATTCAGCAGCATAAAACTTGATACCGTCCGTATTCCTTGGGAATCGTCCATTCTTTGATAGGTGCATCATCAAATCACCACCTGCTGCATACTCCATGACGAAGTTCAGTCGTTCGGGAGTTTGGAAACAGGCATATAGATTCACCAAGAATGGGAATCGGCTGCCTGATGCCAGTCTGAATACTGTGAGTTCGCTTCGAATACTAATATCCAAAAAAAATGAATTAGAGAAAGGGACATTATTGTGTTTAGAACAGCAGCACACACCTTTCGATATCATTGTTCTCAAGAGCATGATCCTTCTTTAATGATTTCAGAGCGAATAATTCTTTTGTTCTACGATCTTCAACCAACAGCACCTGCGAGATTCAAATGTAAGTATCTCGTCACAAGCAGAACGAGGACGCCGTAATGATCGCGACGACTCGCATCCCACACAACCACATAAAACATACCTTCCCGAACGCCCCCTTCCCCAACACAGCAATCAACGAAAAATCATTCAGCGTCACATTCTTCTTTTGCGACATCTTCCTACGTCCAGTCAACGACCTCAACGGCTGCTGCTGCTGTTGCTGTACAGCCCCACCATTCAGCGCCCCATTGCTGCCATTCATACGTCTCTGTTGCTGTTCAGCATGAAGCGCCTGCTGCTGCTGCATATACGCCGCAGCCTGAGCCTGCTGCTGAGCAACCATCTGCCGTCTCTGCTGTTCCTGCATGGCAGCCATCTGCTGATTATACATTACTTGCTGATGTCGTTGCACAGCAGCCATGTATTCCTGCTGTCTCATAACCTGCTCCTGGACTTGCTGGGCTCGGACGGCACGTTCGTATTCTTCTCGTCGTGCTTGTTCGGCCAGTGCTTGTTGTTGGGCGCGTGCGAGGGTGGCTTGTTGGAGTTCACGTTGCGAGATTTCCTCTCTCATGCGTACTTCTTGGTCTCGTCGTGTGGCGGCTTCACGTAGTCGTGCTTCCATTTGGATGCGTTGTTGAGTTGCGACTTGTTGGGCGAGGATTAGCTCTCGGATTCGTTGTTGAGCAGTCTCTTGTAACATACTGCGACGGGATATTTCTTCTTGTTCTCGTGCTCGTCGTTCATTCTCTTCGGCATTGTTATGGCGATCTAGTTCTTCACGACGACGACGTTCTTCCTGCTCTCGAAGCCGGAATTCTTCTTCCTCTTCTTGTCGTAGTAAAGCGTCTTCTTCATCTAGTTCATCTTCATAGTCTACTTGCTCTTCACTCAGCTTTTGCAAATCAGCACTACCATCATCTGGTATTGTATTTACTGCCGTCAGTGACGAAGACGAGGAGGATGCTGCTGGTGATACATTACGTTGAGTCTGAGCACTCTGAGCCTGTATATACAATCGTCTCTGCTCAGCTATAAAAGCATTGATCTGATCAGGCGTCAGGACTCCACTAGCAGCCTGAGCAAATGATACAGGTCGATGATTTATTAAGGATGCAGTACGAGGTGGACCAGCTTCATCTGGTGCCTGTGTTCTAGACCGCTGTATAGCTTGGAAGGCAGCCTGTTGTTCTCTTATAAACTCTGGATCATTCAAATCAATTGCATCAGACTTCGGCTGCCGCTGTTGTTGTGACGATGCTGCCTGTGACAATGATTGTGGAGATGGGTATACTGGTGCGGCAGGGAAGGCTGGTATTTCTGACGAAGCCTGTCTAGATACGGTTCGTGGAGGAGCATTAGCTAATAACGGTGATTTATTACTTCTTATGGAAGCGTTGGATGCGACTCGTGGCATGGCGGAATTGCTGATAGATTGTTGCTGTATTGGTGGTGGTAGCAGAGAAGCTCGTCGTGATTCAAACGAGGCGCGTTCTCGTTCTCGAGCAGCCAAGACTTCGCTAACTTCATCATATAGCGCTGGATCGGGCAGTGCTGATAACGACGATGTAGGTGATAGTGATCCTGTTGATGAAGTTGGCGTCACAGCTAATTGTGACATTTTAGCTTCGAATTCATCACGCTCTCTACTTCGTTGAGCTAGAGCTTCTAAAGCTTGCTGATACACGTCTTCAGTATCAGCTGGTTCTGGAGACGTTACTATCATGGGTCTAGGCCCAGTCAATCTACCACCAACACGACCAGGCAATATCGGTGCCGTGGGTGACGGGCCATCGGCTGAAGTATCCAGTGATGGATCTTCACCACGAGAAAGCATTAAAGATTTACGTACTTCTTCAGCTGAAGTCAATCGTTTCTTTTCTTCGATTTCTAATAGCTCTCTGCGTTTCTTTTCCTCAATCTTTTCAGCTTCTCTCATAAACTCGTCTGCGTTTTTGGCAGACATGCCACAAAAATGTGGGACTAACTTTTCGCAAGCTATGTGGACACTAAAGTTGTCACAGGCTGTGCACTTTCGAATTTGACTTAATGGTGGTATTACTTGTCCACATTGCCTACACCACGGTGGAGCAATTGGAGCTGAAAAAAGTATAACGAAATCAGAATGAATTTCATTTTCAATCCGTTCAACAGTTTTTCCTTTACCTGTCGCATTAGCAAATCGATGCACTATTCGGTGTTTACTGAGATGTTTGGCTACTCGTCTATCATCTTCACTTTCTTGCTCTTCCGTATCTCCCTTGACTGAGCAAGTCAGAGACTTTTCAGAGCATTCCTTGTGCACAGAGTATTTGCAATCTATCGGTAAATAATTGTTGGATTGCTACTTTTTAGGCAAAAGCTGGCTGAGGAATAGACCTACATTCACAAGTCAACCCAACCAACATAAGTTTCTCACAGACGACGCAACGATTCGTGACACCACGAGGAGACTTTATGAATTTGTGACCTCGAACGGCCACGCCCTTCTTTACAGCTTTCTTCCTTACAAGGAATCCACTTTCCGGTTGGACATCGTACTTGTCCTCGACTAGGTAGAATGACCATTTTTAGTAAGGGAAGCGAATGAGAAGCAATGACAGCCTTTTCCGCCGGAAAAGGCCGTCATTGTCCCTTTCATCGACTCGGCTTTTCGCAATACTCACTAAATTGAAACTTGGCAAGCACTTGACCAGCAGGCTCCAAATCCAACCAAGTCTCTAGCCCACCATTCCGATGAAATCCAAACGCCGACCCGACCCAGGATCCAATAGACGCCTCAGCATGAGGTTCCTGTGCAGCAAGAGCATCTGCCAAATCACCCAATCGTAGCCATACAAGAGACAGAAGTAACCCATCATTTGAATACACAGTCATTTCAAATTCTTCAGCTTTAGATACTTCTATATCGAAATCCTGATTCCAACTAGTCTGCGAAGGTTTGGTTCTGGCACGTTCAGATCCATCGATTCGTATAACGGTATATGTGGGCGAGTCTTGCTTGTTTGGTAGATTAGCAGCTGTTATGATACGAAGCTTTAGATGGCCCGACATGGGTCTCTTTGTCATTGTTGCAGCACTATCTATACTCTCTAGGAGTGACAAGTTTGGGGTTGTGGGTACAAACAGCTGTTGCCACCTCACTTCACTTCTCATGAGGCATGCGACTCGAGCATTAGCTTCTAGATCAGCTAGCTGAGCATCCGTCAAAGCAGTAGGATCAGCATTTGGATCTCCTTTCAATGCTTGGTGATGCTGTTCGGCCTTTGTCTTATTCATTACTTCGGTAGCTAGTTTCTTGCGTACCCCTTCCAGTTTGAATGCGATTTTGTTTGTGGTCAATGCACTTTCATGCTTCAAATAGTCTAAGGGGAGAATATATATAGTTCAATTTGGGTTGTAACAAAAGCGTATCGATATTTCTCCATTTGGGACTCACCAAAGGGACTGAGTGGAGCACCAGCGTCTATGCTATCGGATGATTCCATAGCTGTTATATGAGTATTTACAGTATTCGATCCTAGTTGATTGAGCTGGTTTTCCAGAAAATCGAGTCGATTTCTGTTTTGTTTGATTTCCAGCTCGACAGAGTGGAGATTGTCGTCGTTGAGGGTCGAGTGCTTTGATTGAAGGAGAGTACTCTTTAGTCGTAGCGAGCCTGCGAGGTTTCTCCTCTCTTTCTCTAATGTAGATTCAAGTATTTCCTTTGAGTTGGAACCGGCCTGCGTTTCACAATTGTTAGCAAATGGAATGCAAATGGATTATGGTGCAGACACTTACAGCCATATGCCCTACTGGACGTGCTCACCAAATACCTCTTTCTACGACTCGCCGTCAAGTCAAATTGAGGCTGCTCCAGACAGTTCTTGGCTTTGAAGTCCTCTCCAACAAACGCACACACTACTACACAAACTGACGCATTTGAGTCAAGTTATAGAGCAAGCTAACCGGAGAGATTCATACTAGATTCTTGCACTAGAAATGGCTACGAATGCTATTGGATCTGCTGGCAAACCTCCATCAAAGGAAGTGGAACTTCCACCACGATCTAATCTCCCAAGACTAAACTTCACAAACCACATAATCGAAACCGAGCCAGGAGTCAGGATATCCCTAAATGCATACCAAGGCACCGCATCAACCTCTCAGATCAAACCAGATGCATCGGTGACGTCGTTGACAATTGTGACATCTCACTCGTCGAACATTAGGCTAACGCTACCTTACACAACAGATCACGCCAAATACATCAGTCTCGCTGCTATTATCTCACTGGAATGGGGGATTCAAGGAATTGTGGATTCCGACCATTAGAGAACTGTTGAACAAAGGCTCACAATTGCCGATTGACACCATCTATGCTTATGATCACCGTGTGTATGGGGACTCGTCCCTATTAAACGTGGCTCATCACGATGCTTTTGGCGATGGTATCAACTCTGCAACTGATTTTGAATGTCTTGGGATTGATTGCCATCATGTTGCAAAGTGGATTCGGTATGTCTTGACAGTTCGTGTTGTCTCGTCGACATTTGACCTGTGCATTCGTACTTTTGACGCTTAATCCTGACATTATTGTACGTTTTTTCGCATTAGATCTCGATTCAATCCCAACCAAAATCACAAACTGATTGCTGTCGGACACTCGCTCGGCGGAATGACTGTCGTATTGGCACAGCGTATTTCTCGAGTCTTCGATTCTATTGTGTTGATTGAACCTATATTACAAAAGAATGATACCCCAAAGGTATGCTGCACTTTTAGAGACTTGTCAAACCTACAACATATCTAACCGCAATCTGTTTGCCTTCTAGAATCTGGCTGTCGTGAAAGCTTCTGCAAATCGGAAAGCAGTCTTCAATACCCGTGAAGAGGCAGCCAAGTCATTCGTAAAACTGAAAATGTATCAGAGGTTTGTGCCAGAGGCATTTTGGCTGTATGTGGTAAGTGAATGTACTCAATGTTGCTTTTAAACCTTTATGTGAGCGTAAACTCATCGCCCCACTCCTCTCGATCAGAATGACGGCCTACGAGAAGTAAGAGACGAAAAAGGCAACACCACATACATGCTTAAGTGCCTACCAAAGCATGAAGCGTCAGCCTTCAAAGGTGTTTCCAAGAGTGTTTTTGAAAGATTACATGAGATTGATGTTCCTGTGAGGCTTGTCTCTGGTGAAATATCAATGATTGGCCATTCGAAAATGGAGGTTGATGGGAAGGTGATGAGAAAAGATCATGCCATTGCTACACAGTTGAAGACGTTGGTTGAACATGCATGGCTGCCTGAAGTGGAGCACTTGGTACCTCAGCAGGTACCGGATCTTACCGGTATGTGTTTATTGTGTGAAATGGTCTAGCTCGACAGTTTCAAACCACGACAAACTCAGGAGCTCCGAATCCTGAAATGAGATTTTTGACACGTAAACCTCTACGTTTCCTAGCTAATTTGATGATCAAATCTATTATGGAAGCGGTGGCTAGTCCAGCGTCCAAGCTTTGATTATGAGCTCATCTGATTCTAGAGTGGTTGAAGTCGATTATAGAATTATAGAAGAAAAAATTCACGTAAAAATGAAGAGTTTAATACATTACAAATCCCTTTCCCCCTACTGCTCTCAGCTTGGAAATGGAGTTTCACACTTCCATTCGCATTTCACCACGAAAAAAGTCTTTTTGACAAGGGACAGACAGAGAGTAGGGTACAAGGCAACGTTACATATATACTAACTCCTATAATGCAGCACATGGATCCAACAGGACAAAAGCGCAAACATGACGAGATGGGCCAGTCGCAACAACTCGGAGCGTCAAATCTATCAGCACTCATGCAAGGCTTGCAACAAGGAGGAGGTCTATCCAATACTCTAAGTAGTCTATTGCCCACATCTACATCTGTTGCTCCTCAGTATTACGCTGCTGCGACGACGTCAGCACCTCCATCATTAAATGTGCAAAATCTCGCAAACTTGCAAAATGTACAGGCAATGTTGCAGCAGACTCAAGCTCTGGCTGCTGCTGCCGCCGCTGCTGCTGCTACAGGAGGTGGAGGGATGGCTACTGCTGGAAGTGGAATGCAGAATAGTTATATGTATGCGAATGGACAATTCCAAGGAGGTTATCAACAGCAACAACTACAGCCATCATATCAGCAATATGCTCAACCTCAGGCGCAGCCATCATCCTATGGCCAAGCGCAACAACAGTCGCAGCCATCATCCTATGGCCAACCGCAACAACCGTATGGTCAACCCACCCAGCCATCATATGGTCAGCCACAGCAGGCCTCATCATACGGACAACCTCAACAACACTCATCATCTTCATACGGCCAGCCAGCTCCATCAGCAGGTTATCAACCATCAGGAGGCTCGCATCGTCCAAACGCACCATCATTATTACACGAAAGTGAACGTAAAACTATATGTCGAAACTGGAACAATAATCGATGTGATTTGGATTCAGACTGTCGCTTCCGTCATATATGTTTACGTTGCGGAAGTGAAGCCCATCGTGAGCGTCATTGTACCTATGGCATGGAAAATACTAGTGCTACTAGTACCGGAGCAAACAGTGGCTCTGGCACTAATAATAATAGTAACAACAGCAGCAACGCAAGCAGTACTCATGTTCCAGGACAACCATTGTCTGTGATGGAACGTCGCAGTGTATGCCGAGACTGGAATAATCAACGATGTCCTCGCCCAAACTTTTGTAAATTCAGACATGTTTGTCTGGGCTGCGGATCTCCTGCTCATACCGAAGCCAATTGTCCAATCTCGCCTGGCATCGCCGCAAGCATCGTGAACAATTCATCATCATCCTCAGGATATGGCGGCGGCCGTGAAAAGGAATATAACAACAGCGGTAGTGCTACAGCTGCTTCTTCTGCTTCTGGGCGACGTCGTGAGGATTCATATAATAGTATGTCATCAATGCCTGCTGCTACTGCTTCTCCGAACGCTGCTGCAGTATCATCGAATGTATCGTCACCCGATGAGCAAGCTAGGAAGCGCGTTGCGACGGCTCAACAAGTTTACAGCAACACCAATATGCCATTTGTCCCATCACCGTCTACTACTACAGTACCGTCTGCTCTATCTTCGTCGTCTGCTCAAGCGTCACAACCTACAAACAATGGTGTACGCGACCCTCGATTGGCTGCTTTAGCGTCAACCACAACAGCCATAACAGGTGTCTTGCCTTCCTTAAACGACCGATATAAAACAGTACCGCTTCCACCAGACTTTTTTACACCGTTGCCAAACACGCTGCCCATCCGTAACATGGTGTTTGATGCGCCCACTATATTAGGTACGATACGTGGAACTCTTGTTAAGGATTATACAGGGAGGATTGGAATTGTGGATTACGAGGTCGTACCTGTAAATAGCAGTAATAGTGCAGGTGTAAAAGCAGAAGACGCTAGTGTCAAACGAGAAAGTGATGCTGTGGGTGTCAAGCGTGAGAGTGATGATGGTGGTGTAGCTGCTGTAGCTGCAGCTGTTAGTGATAATGATGTCAAGGGTAGTGGTGGTCAAACTGAAGATGTAAAGACGGACGAGCAAGGTGAAGAGCAAGTCAAGGATGAAGGAGATGGTGGTGATAATGCTCCAGCTGCTCAGGAAGAGGAATTGTGGGTTGTTGATAAGAATCCTCTTGTTGGTGCGTGAAGAAAAGACCAGCGTTAGAGCTGTTTATAAAAAGAGGAAAGGAGAAGAGCATTAAAAACATGGAAATGTAGTAAGAGGAAGGATGATGAAAGTGTGCAGCTCGTAAAAGGAAAACGCAATCAGAATAGAGATTGTCTTGCGCTGTGAAAGTATGTGTGGTTGTTTGAAGCTCAAATGTGTTCAACTTGATGCTCAAATATAATGTTATATTCAAAGAGAGAACTCTTAAGCGTTGAAGTAAATCAAGTTCAAATCTGTTGATCTTCCTGTTCTTTTCGGTTCCAACATTCACTTAACCGACGACTCTCAGGTGTTGAAATAAATAACATCCATTATATAATTAAGACTAAGCAAAACAATTTACACCCAACAGTTCTAACTCAATCACGGCATCCAAGGACGATCCCTGAGCGTCTGCGTTGACACCCACACAGGATTTAAACTCGGCGTCGACTGTCCTACCACATCAATCCTCGCACTGCGTGAACTCTCCGGCCTAGATGGCGTAAAAACGGGCGGCTGTTTCCTCACATCGCGTCTATAATACTGTGGCCGTGCATTCCCAATCGGCACGGGCTCAACCGCAACAAAATCAACACCATCGTGTACATTCTGTACTGGCGTCACACGACCACGATTTGTAGAAACAGCAGCAGACTCTGGCCTCGAAACCTGTATCATATCTCGCGACATTCCAATTCCCCACTCCGACGTATCCACCAAATCCGTTGATGCATTCAGCACGTCGCCAGATGCAGTCACCAGGTTTCCAGAAGCTGTGACTCGTGCGTTGGCGATACGACGTGCACGTGCTGCACCGTCCTTGTTGTTGCGGGATATGAAGAAGGCGGCTGCTCCTGCTGCTCCGACGGCGCCGAGGGCTCCGAAGGTCGCGGCGAGGATTACGGTGGTGTTTATGTTTGAGGTTGGTGTGTCGGTTGGGGATGGTGATGGGGAGGAAGATATGAGGGACAGTGTTGCGGCTGGTTGGATGGCACCGAGGGCTAGTGAGGTTGTTGTTGTGGTTGTGGAGGTGGTTTCGATGGAGGGAAGTGTGGGCGCTGGTGATGGTGCTAATGGCTGTAATCCACTTCCTTCGGATAAGGATACTGTTGTTGTGGCTGCAGCTGATAAGGTTGTGGCCGTTGTGCCAACAGTCGTGTATGTAGTAGTATATGAGGTCGTTATTGGTACCGATGAGCTAGTTGAGGTGCTGTATGCTGAAGAGGTTGTTTGTGTAGTTGCCGATGAGGTTGTAGTAGTTGCGGATGAGGTACTGGTTATTAACGATGAGGTTTGACTGGCTGATGAGGTTTTTGTGGTAGAGGTAGGCTGGGTAGTACCTGTAGTAGTAGCAGTGCTGGTTATGGAGGTGCTGCTTGATGTTATCACAGCAGATGAGGATGTTGTTACAGGCTTAGATGAGGTCGTTACAGGTACAGTGGTTGATGAAGACGTTGCAGTAGAAACAACTGTCGAAGGTCCATTACTAGTGGTAGTGGCCAATCCAGTTGAAGAAGAAATAGCACCAACTGTAGCAGGCAAGACTGTAGCATTCATAGTTGCTGTTGCTCCTTTCGTAGTACTAACAGCAGTGCTCAAAGTAGTAGTTAAAGCAGCTGGCGAGCTAGTCGTTCCAAAACTTTGCGTTGTGGTTGCTGCTATGAAAACTGGATTTCCAGCTGGATTATCAACGACCATACTAGATGGACTGGCTGATGGAATCTGGCTTGTTTGCATCAATATTGGGTTTCCAGCTGGGTTGTCGATTACGATATTAGATGGGCTAGATGATATCGTTGTGGTTGCTACTAAACTTGATCCAGACGACACTGTTACTGTTGATGTTGTACCAGCACTCAAAGTCACAACAGCGGGATTCTGTGGTGGTGCAGCTGTTGTACTGCTCTTACTAGTAGTTGTTGTTATTGCCGAGTTTGTTATAGTTGTCAATGTTGCTGGGATTGTCAATGTTGCCGGATTTGGAACAGTAATAGTTCCACTCAACACCGTCGTAGTTGTAGTCAGCGTTTGAGTAGACAGCCACGTAACTGGAGTCATCGTCGTAGTTTTCATACTGAGAATCACGTCGACACTTTGAATTGCAGCTGGCACACGAGTCAATGCATCTGATATGCTCGTATCAAGCATTGATGCTGCTACGATTGGGATGGGAGATGCACTAGCGTATGAGGCAGTGGAAGTAGTGGTGCCTTGGATCGTGGCTGGCTTTGGTAGTGAAGAGAGTGTAGTCGTCTGCGTTCCAACTGTAGTAGTCAGAGTAGCAACTGTGAAAGTTCCAGTTCCCGTCATTCTAGTAGTTCCTGACGTTGTAAGTGTTGAAATGCTAGGTCCCAATGCCGCAGGAGAAGGAAGTGTGATGCTGCTCGTTGCAGAGGCCACGAATGAGCTTGTCGTCCTTGTACTGGCAGTTGAAGCGACAATTGTAGCAGGACTCGGAATACTTAAAACTGATATAGTTCCGGTGGTTTGTTTACTGGTTGTGGTTGCTACATTGGAAGTCGTTGACAATCCTCTCGTTGATACAAAAGATGTTGTCATGGCTGAAGAAGAAGTCGATAGGGTACTTGCTTGAGTGGATACCACTAAAGTCGTTGTTGGTTTTGTAGTAGTCGTTGTGGAGGCAGTAGACGTTGTTTTGACTGTTGTCGATATTGTCGACAGTTTAGAAGTCGTGCTAAAAAACAATGGGGCTCAGAGAACTCATTTCCGCATCTAAAACGTTCTTTAACTATTCCAAAAGTACCTGGTAGGCAAAACCAAATTCACCGAAACAGAACTTGTAACATCCGGAGCAGCAACAACCAAATTCCAGGTCCTGTTTACACACGTCGAGTAGTTGGCAACCACAACATTGACTCCTGATGTCACTTGAGTAGCAGTATAGCTAAGTTCAAAGAATTATAAGGTCAATATACGAGAAACCTGGTCATGTGCATTTTTTACTCACCTTCCAAGTGAATAATTAACAGCCGGCATACACCCAGCACCAACAACCCCAACATCCAACAACGCAGTCCCAAGGAAATTACTATTACTCATTCTAACCACAAATGGTGTCGCAACACTAACAGTAGCACCAGAAACTGGTTGCACGACTGTCAAAGTTCTTGCAACAAAAGTTACAGTAATGTTGGCCAGAATGGCGCTATTGTATGCACCATCATTTCCAATGATTTTGAGGGGACAGTGTGCTCCAAGTTGTAATGGTGCTCCAGGCGATACGAGATATGATCGAATAACGGAAGATCCAGTGTAGGTTGGGACTAGTTGGTAGAATGATCCGGTTGATATGCAGGGTGGGTATATGAAGGCAGTGAAATTTGGGACTGCTGATGTGTATAGGGATGCATTTGTTGATATTCTGTATAAAAAACGTGATTAACATTCAAGCTCAAAATTAACTTGATGCCATGACCAATATCTTACCCAACTTGAAACCCATTCATATACGTCAACGACACACCATTAGCAGGCGACGTGATATTCAACGATGGCGCATACTGCACTGTAACATTCGTCGAATTCAAGCTCGCAATCGATCCCCAAGCACTCGAATTACCAACAACAGATATCCTCGTCTGACTACAAGGTAACAGTCCATTCACAGGAAATGCAATCGTCCTAGATCCAGATGATGAATTGGTAGCATTCGTGAAAATCGATGTCACGATTGTGGAATTCTGACCACATCCATCAGCAATGACATTTAATTGTTTGGAATCAGTCGATGAAATGTTGGTCCATATTGAAATGTTGATGTTGTTTAGACCGTTAATGTCTAGTATAGTGGCTGTTGATGGGGATAGGGAGAATGTGATTATTGGTTTTTGGGCAGAGATGGCGAGGAAGGTAGAGATTAGCACCAAGGTGCGTATTAAGAGTCGTATAGCCATCACAGATCTATGCAAGAACGATCGAGATCTATTGCGGAAAGCGACCAGTTTCTTGTGGGAAAATAATTCCGGTTGCTGTGCGTTGCTGTGCAAAAGCGCAGCACACAAGATCTTGCCTTACAAAGCTGGCAACGTCGACGCAAACTTCAAAGCGATGTCGGCTGGCTGCCGTTTAATTTTTTCGGAACGTAGCTCCTCGTCAAGCAAAAAAATTGTTAGAAACTCACGAATAGCTTCACGCCTTTACTCCAACCAATGTTCACATAGTGCTCATAATGATACACAAAGCAACGAGAAAAGTTTAATTTGTTTCGTTTATCAACATGATGATCAAATAATTTCACTGTACTGCTACTGTCAACCACTCATCATTCACATACTGGAATCCTTTAAAAGAATCCTGATCTGCCTCACTCAACCGAGAAAACACTGGTGTCATGGCCAATGGATCTTCTCGTGTAAAGTCACGGTCAAAGTTGGATACATCCGTTGCTGAAGCCTATTCACACCAAAAAATGAATTTAGCGTTGAATCAATTTTTGACATGCACCAAACTTAATGCATAAATAGATAAAACAAGCAGCTCTTCGAAACCTCACAAACAACTTACTCGATAAGGCTTAAACGGCGGCTCAGCCTTAAGCGCCGACAATGCATCCCAATCAACGCCATTAAACCACGGATGCCTCTTTATCTCATCAGCATCTGATCGTCCAGCACCCAACCTCTTTGCAGGATTTGCTTGCAACAATCTCGTAATCAGACTAACTAGTTCTGGATCACGATCTTGCGGCCATGATATAGGACGATCCATGATAGCATCCAGGATTTCACGTTCGTCGTCTCCCTTGTATGGATATTTACGTGCCCACATGACATAGAGCAAGACACCATAAGACCACCAGTCTACCGCTCGTGTGTATGGATCTCCCATTAAGATTTCGGGAGCCATGAAATCGGGAGTTCCACAGAATGTGTTTGTGCGATCACCATATCTCATGTTTTCTCGACATATACCGTAATCGACTAGTTTTACGTGTCCTTCTGCTACCAGCATGACATTTTCGGGTTTCAGATCCCTACATTGTGCATTTTCAACGCATGAGTGACGAGGAAAAAAGGAATACGAAAGGCTAGTCATGGTATGGCAGCATACCTGTAAACGACATTGTGCTTATGGAAATATTCCAGAGCCAGCAATACTTCAGCAGCATAGAAGCGTATTCGATCCATAGTAAATCGACCAGCCTGAATATGGAACATCAAATCACCACCTGCTGCATAATCCATCACGAAATACACCCGTGTTTTTGTTTGGAAGCATGAATACAGATTAACCAGGAATGGATGATGACCACGACTTGCAATCAAGAATACTCGTAACTCTGATCGAATACTATATACAGTTTAGCAAGGAGGGTCAGCGTGGCAAAAAAAAGTACGGTCAACGTCAAAATATTCTACGAATACACCACCCACCTCTCAACATCTTGAGTTTGAATGTAATGATCCTTCCTCAATGCTTTAATGGCAACCATCTTGCCTGACTTGCGTTCTTCAGCCAACATGACTTTACCAAATGCACCTTTACCCAATACAGCCAAGAATGTGAAATCATCCAGCCCAATCTTTCTAGCACTGCTACTGGTCCTATTCGGCGGGATGGCTAAATCACTATTACTACCACTCGTAGCGGCAGAAGGTTTCTTGACATCAGGAGCCACAATAGTAGCAGAAGCTGAAGATGGCGCGACAGGTCTCGAAGCTACAGCCGGTTGATTGACGGCAGCAGCTGGCTTTTCACTAGCTGATTGAGCCTGTGCAGCAGCTAATTCTTCATCAAGCAACTTTTGTCGTTTCATTGCATCAGCCCCTTCAATTGCCCCAAGCATTTGATTGAGTGTCGACACAGTCATTCCACAATAGTTGGGCACTACAGATTCACATTCACGATGATATTGGAGTTTACACTCAGAGCAACGACGGGCTTGGTTTCGTCCTAGTGGTAGTAGTTGACCACAGTGATGACACCATGCTGGTGGTGTCACTGTAGAGGGTTCAAAGCGATGTGGGATATGGTACAGGTTGAATGCACGTTGCGATTTGTCTTGGGTGTTGTCCTAGCATATGTTGTCAGCGCTTTTTTTTTGTTACAAGCCTTCCTTGCACGTGCAGAGACTTCACTTACTCTGGACTCTTGGTAACTTTTGATGATACATTTGAGGGACTGACGGTGACATTCCTTGTGGGCGGTATATCGACAATCTAGAATGAGCGGAGACGACGGGTTGAAAAGTGCAAAAGAGGCGGCCAACACCAGACCGAATTGCCCACTCACGTTCACATCGAAGACCAAACATTAAGAATGAATTACAGACAGAACACATGAGAGGTTGGTAGAATTGCTGCTGTATAAATTTGTGGCCTCTAGCAAAGACACCCTTTTTGACAGGCTGTCGACGAAATATCCCTTCGTCCTTTTTGCTCAATATGGCATCACTCACTATTAATGATTCATTATCAGCAAGACAGAAAGAGCTCGGACAACATGATAAAAAAGCTACCAGGACATTCTGAAGGATGACTTGTAACTTACAAAAGTTGAGTCGAACACGAATCTGACCACCTGGCTCCATATCCAGCCACGTTTCCATCGGCTCGGGTTGCTTGGCCGCACCAGATGAAGCTCCAGTACTTGCAGTATGAAGCGATGAGGTACTAACGTTGTCCGCTTTTGCTATGACATATTTGAGGTCTTCCTCCAAATCATGCAATTTAAACCAAATCAGGGACAGCAGTTTACCATCTTCATCATATACGCTAGAAAGGGTGTATTGTTAGTTAGCTTCCAGGTTACTTGGGCTCTAGAGTTGATAGTTGTCGGAACAAAAGTGTTTTTGAAGAACTATTACAGAGACGATACCTTATCTCCACATCATGCGACCGATCAATTGGTATATCAAAGTCTTCATTCCAATCTTTTCTCGTAGTCTTTGTCTGGGCTCGTTCTACACCATCTACACGTACCACCACAAACATTTGAGTGTTTGGTGACCGACGACCAGGTATGTTTGACGCTGTGAGTATACGAAGACGGAGATGGCCTGTTAATGTAAATCTCGGAGCACGGGCTGAATGTGGCGTTCCAGGCGCTGATCCAACAGGTGACACTGTGGATTCACTCGATGACAAGATATTACTGTATGACGACGACGAGCCCTGTAATATAGCATTTGATTCAGATGGTGAATCAGTGGTTTCAGTATCTACGTATAAACCCTTGTATCTCTTTTCAGCTTCAGACAAAAACATGACTTTGGCAGCACACTCTGACATTTTAGCAGCTGCTTCATCTTTAAGTCTCTGATCAGCATTTGGCGTGTTGGCCAGAGCTTGCGACATCTTTTCAGTTCCTTCTCTGACTCGTTGTTCGATTTCCAGTTTACTCCTGACCTCCTGAAGTTTGTACCTTACTTTTTGGGTTGTGTAGTTTGGATCATGTTTGAGATGTTCGAATACAGGAGTGGTAGCCGATAGATTAGTACTACTTGATTCTCTACTTTTATTGTGATTTGGAGTTGCAGCACCTGGATCTATACTAATCTCAGTCAGCGAGCCAGTCGACGATACAGAGGCCCCCGACTGAATAGAAGACAGTGACGATTGACTGGCACGTTGCATTAGCAGAGACTTTTGGTTGCGTAGGTAATCCAGACGTTTCTCGGATTCTAATAAATCTGCTTGACATTTCTCTTTGGCCATTCGGTCGCTCAAAATTGTCAACATCTTTCTGGCACCGTCCCTTACGGCTATTTCACGAGCGATCTTGGCGTCCAGCTCTTTCATAGCGGGAGATTCCATTGCATCAGGAGCCTATAAGCATGGATACATTGTTAGAATAGACGGATTTTGCCAAACAGTCATTTGAGGCGCTTGGAGTTCTTCAACGCAATATCACAGGGACAGATAACCTGCATCCATGAAGTATCGACCTACCATGTCTACGAAGCTGATGCTTCTATCTATTTCCAACGAAACTGGACCAGACTGAGCGGTTTGTGGGGTTTGATTTCTGACTGACAAAGACGGCAATTTATGAGACACAACATGAAAAACTACGATACAACGATACAACTAGCTACAACTAAACTCGACGTGTAGGGGGCGTCGAAAATTCAAAATTCATGAAATTCATTCCATACACGTGCTGGGATTATGTGGTTGAAACTAGTATATATTATTACCGTGACAGAATTCAATTAAAGCAACAACAAACTATTATTACTACTTTTACTACGATTAACTATGAATACGTGACTTAAATCTTGTCTGCGAAAGCCTTTACGTCAGACACCGCCAAGCCGTTGAAGGTTGAATCGTGAGACGGCCAGAAGTTCTTGATACTGCTCATGCCCAGCAGCTTCTTGACTGAGGCTATATTCTTGCGTGGATCCATAGTGCTTAAAGTCGGTGCACCTTGTAGGAATGGCTTCTTATGGCCTCCTCCGCAGCATGGAAGTGAAGGACTCAACGATACCATCATCATAAGACTGTCCCCGATGATAATCCCTCCTGTTGGTACGTGTAATATGGAAGTAGATCCGGGCGTGTGGCCAGGCGTGTGGTATACTTGAATGGTTCCGCCTCCCAGCATGTCTCCGTCGTTTAATACAAGGACTTGATCCTGTATTTTATGGGCAAGGTGAATGACATGTGTCTAGAATGATTCAGAGAGCAGTATTTACCTTTGAATAGTTCTTGGGTACCCATGTTTCTGGCAACATGCGCTTCCCAATGAGTGAAAACACTGACATGGGAGAGGCCGCTCCTTCAGCAAACTTCATCGTGCCCAGGACGAACGGAATTTCATCCTTCATTATGGCCGGAATGATATCCGGGAAGCGCTTTTTGAGCAAATCAAATGCTCCAATGTGGTCGAGATGAGCTAACAACAAATGATTATCAGCTCAGATTCCAAAAGCGATGGTGATGGACGTACCGTGTGTGGGAATCATGTGGCTGATTGTATCCCCAGGCTTCAAAACGCCGTCAAGTGCAGAGTTAAGTGCATCCCAAGTTGTTTCGAGTCCAGAGTCCACAATAATCCAACTGGAATCACCCGTTTTGATCTGCGAGAGTCATAATGGTGAGCCTGGTAGTAATTCACAAGTAGATAAGCAACAAATATCAAACCAGAAAGATAGAGACAGGAATCAGAAGTCCCTTGTTGTGCCACGCGACTGTGCAACGTAGGATACCACTTCCGATTTCAGCTACCGAGCATGGAAAGAGGACTTCAGAACAACGGGAAAGCAGTTTCCATCATCGGAAGTGCACTGTATCAAACATTGACTCATTACATACCGAACTTGTTATAATCTGGCAGCTCTTCAATGTCCGACATTGGGAGAGTGTTTGATGTCCTGTGATTCTTGACCACGTACAGGTTACGAGGGCGCTGAGTAGAAAAAACTGAGATATATATAAGCACTCGTCACTTCGGTTGCTCTGTATCTAGTGTAGTAGACGTTGTTTAAGAGTCTTGCGTTTGTTCAAGATACAACTTTACAAAACTAGACTTAGCTTGATCACTTACGGTCAAAAAGGAGTTTGGAGCCAACAGAATTACGATTTTATGCAGTCAGTATCAGGAACTGGGACACAATTTGTACTATATCAACCCCAATATTTCACCCGTCGCTGGAATTCACACGTTGGCAAACAAGAAGACCTTGTCCAACTCGACAGAAAAGTAGGCTCCTTTGATAACGCAGTCTATTGACATGGATCCATCTAGACGTGTCGCCACAGTTTTAACCTCGGTCGTGGTTGCGACATTGGTATACATTATCATGAAGAAGGCCAAACGCAAAAGGCCTCCAGGAGTGAGTTTTACAATGCTTATCGCTTTCTGCAACAAGCATCATCAACGAATTTGCTGAATTTATACAAACCTACTAGCCTGGATATCCCATCATCGGTGACATTGAGGCGTTCTCAGCATTGGCAAACAACAAGGCTGCCGTCTATATATTCAAGAAACAGATGCTATATGGGCGCATCATGGATTTCAGAGTTTTGAACCAGTCGATTTATGTAAGGAAGAAGTGACTTTGAGTCTCTGTTTTTGGTGAGGAGTGCTTTGACGGCAAGTCTCACTAAAATACTGTGTCGGCTTAGGTGCTTGCTGATCCCGATGAGGCGCATCGTATACTCAACAATAGCCATGAATTTTACAGAGATCGGACGTTCCAGAATGCTTCAGAGTAAGAGCTAATCTTCGGCTTTGTAGTTACTGGTACTGACGGTAACCTTTAGGAAAATAATGGAATCTGCCCTGTTCTGTCTTCCTAGTGGAGATACATGGCATCGCCATAGGAAGCTTCTCAGTCCCGCATTCTCGCCTATACATCTGCAACATGCCCTAGAGGTCTCCATCAAATCTACCAAACAGTTATGTAAATACTGGGCGTCACTAGGTCCTAAAGTCATCCACAACGTGCATCACGAGTTTGCATGCCTAACCCTAGACGTAATTGGACAAGTAGCGTTCTCTCAAGATTTCGGTGTAGTCAAGTCGTTATCTACAGACAATGTGTCCGAGACATACCAGCTGTTTGAGAAGGTTGGAGGAGCTATAGGCAAGAGGATGAACCAACCAAAATGGTTTTGGTGGCCTCTCGGCGTAACCGTGAAAGATATTGAGTATGAGACGACTCGAGTTCGTCAAATTGCTATTGATGTGCTACAAACCAAAATGGCTGCCACTGTCGCGAGGCCTGAACGTGAATGGGACGTTTTGGATCGATTGCTGGCCAAATCAACTGATGGAGAAGATGTACGTTACTTGGGACTTTAGTACGGTGCGACAAAGCGCTAATCATATGTCATAGAAATTCACTCCTGACGAGGTGATTGATGAACTGATGGGATTCTATTTCGCTGGTCATGAAACAACTAGCAACACCATTTCGTTTGCAATAATGGCCCTGGCACAAAATCCCACGGTCACTGCTAAACTGCTGGCAGAGATTGATGACCGAGTGGGCAAAGGAGAACCTACCATGGCAATGTTGTCTGAGCTCAAGTAAGTGCTTTTCACATTACATCGTTGTCAATTACAGCATCTTATCACTCCCCTTACCTTTTCTAGGTATTTGGACAACTTTGTCAAGGAAGTGCAACGTTTGTATACAGTAGCAGGTTTCAACCTTCGTCGACCCAGGCAAGACAGTGAAATATGTGGATATATGGTGCCGAAAGATGTATGTGTCAAAAGAGCTACTCTGTTTGTATTGTGACAAATGTCACGACATTCGGGAAAGTGGAATTGTTCTGACGCGGTTCTTCAATTTATAGTCTGTAGTCATTATAAACATCTGGGCTATACACACAGCTCCTTGGATTTGGGGAATTACAGGGCGTGATTTCGATCCAGATCGTTGGACAAGACCGATACCACACAATGCATATCTGCCATTCGGGTATGACTTTGTTTGGTTGTAGTGCCTTGAATGAACTTATTGTTAACATACCGTCCGTTTCCCCATCACAACACAGGAGCGGACCCATGGGATGCATTGGCCAGAAGATGGCGCTCATTGAGCTCAAAGTCGCACTGATCACCATGCTTCAACGATTCACGTTTGAACTAGTTCCAAATCAGGATCTGGAACCGGAGAGTGCTGTTACGATTGGAATGCGGCAGGGATTACGTGTCACTCTCACTCCGCGATAGCAGAGCAGAGGGGAAGTTGGTGTTTGGAATGTGTATAGTTTTGGATTGGTGAATTTTGGAATAGAATGAATTATGTTGCTTATCGGTTACAGGTTACTGTAAAATGAAACGCGATTGAACATGTGATTGATTATATATGTGTCTCCTAGTACAAGTCATATCATCGTGGCCTGGTGTCCAAAATTAGTAGTATGTTTCAATGCCGACGCAAGTGAGGAATAAGCAGCGAGGAGCTCATCAAGGAGGAGCTTGGAAACACGAAAACAGTCATCGTAAGAAACCTGGTCTAGTCCCATGCACTCTCTACCGCCATCTCCTCCTTTTAAGCTTACTTGAAGGCACGAGCCTCAACTCATTGTTTGTGTTCGTTAAATGGATAACATTTTTTCCTAAAGACCGTTTGACACCGGGGCACAAGTGAGGTTCATTTCAGGAGCGCTTCTTGCTGGTTACCAACTATGGAGACATTTAAACACAAGATTGGTGCCATCTTCAGACCTCGCCGACCTGAAGCACCAAAACCAACATCTGCACAAACCCCAGTAAGAAAAAAGGGTCTCAAAGAACATGCATGTTAATCAGATCAATCAATTTTAACACAATCTCCATTCAGTTCGTTACAACCATCGTTGTCGGAGGAGAAAATCCAAGCATCTCTACGACTACGCCATCATCACAACAAGGCAATGACATTAACGGACAAAGCGAGGGAGGATCATCATCATCGTCCTCTGCTATCTCCACTGCGGTCAACGGAGAGCCAACTACGGAGGCAGATCTGGCTGAACCTGTATGTTGTCAATCGTTATGCTGGCGGTATTCAAGCAGTTTAAACCTTTTTTATCCATATAGCCAGCATACTCTGCTAATAGACAACGTGTCTTTCAATATCAAGTCACGCTAGCGTATACTCCCCGTGAACCAGATGAATTGCTGCTCAACTTGGGAGACATCATCATTGTGAACGAGACCTTTGTTGATGGTAAATTGTACACCGATGACGCGTTGATTGTGCATCACCTGCTGACAGCATCTTCATCTCAACAGGCTGGGCTCATGGATACTCGCAATCTGCTGATCAATATGGAATGGTGCCAATGGCAGCATTGGAAGCAGTGGTTGGTCAAACAGTGGCCGAGACTCAGTCAAGCACAGCCCGGTCATCTGGCATAACGAAAGAGCCAATATCGGTGGCCAGTAGTTCGAACTCCAATCCAATGGATTCCAGTAGCCAAGATCTATCTACCTTGAAGGCATGGCTCACTCCAACCGATTTTAGACTGACGACGTTTACGCTAAAGGAGAAGAGACTCGAATCTACTCGAGGCTGGCTCTTGGATGAGTTGACGGAATGGAAGGACAGTGTGGACCAGCCACGTGTATACTGGCTCTCTGGTGTAGCAGGAGTGGGGAAATCAGTAGTCGCTGGCTCCTTCGCTGATAAACTCCAACAAAGAAATCAATTGGCAGCCCACTTCTTTTGTAAATTTGACGAAATCGCTCGTAATGACCCGCTACGTGTACTTGCCACATGGGCATTTCAGCTGGCGTCTTTTGATCCTGATATGAAACAGGTGCTTAAAGAGCTACATGAAGCCGAACCGAACTTTTTGATCAATGCGTCGTCGATTGGCCTTCAATTCAACCAACTTATAGCTAAACCATTATCTAAATACCGTGGTGATAAAGCTGTTATACTGCTAGACGCACTGGATGAATGTGCTGTAGAAGGAAGCAAGCTTCGGCGAGAGTTTCTACAAACACTTGGAAGACAATTTGCACTCCTCCCCAAAAATATTTCCGTATTTGTAACCAGTCGGCCAATACATGATCTACGAAAGCAATTGTCGGACTATAAACCACGAATGATGACCCTAGAAGCCACCGAAAATCTGAATGACATAAAACTATATGCAACGTACCGGATGAACCGTCTGCGTCATGTTTTGGAATCGGCTGCTAGTGTTGACTCTCTTGCCGATAAATTAGCTGCAATGGCTCATGGACTCTTTGTATGGTTGTATCTTGCTTGTGATGAAATGGATAGGTCCAACGATCCCAGCGAAACCATTGCCGAGCTGGAAGAACGAACTCTTGGAAATGATGAAGATCGAATGGACACCATATATTCTAGAGCATTGGTTTCTGGCTTTAAAGGAGTCCCACAATCAGCAATACAGCTGTATACCAAACTAGCTGGAGCGCTGGTTGCACTTCGAACGCCAATGTCAATCGATCAAATGTCTTCCTTATTAGACATTCCGTCAATTCCAATCAAACTCAATGTAGCTCGAATAGAATCGTTGCTCATAATGTCGAAATCGTCCGTACAGCTGATGCACAAGTCGGTTGCCGATTTTATTACTTCGAGCACCCGTTGTAATGGAGAGGCCTCGCCATTTTATATAGATAGACAGCTGGCTGAGTCATATATTGCCAGAATGTGTCTGCTTGCTCTGCCATCGACTTTGAGATTAGCAAGCATTCCCGGGCAAATAGAACCGCTTCGAGGAATTGTGGCTCCCGCTACTCCTACGCACATTAGCTATGCTCTCTCTCATTGGGCAGATCATCTAGATGGTATTCAGGAGCTAGACAAGGAGTTGACTACCACTCTAGTTGGTGCACTCCAAAACTATGGTAGTGCAATGCTGATCGTAGCCGTATTGAAAAATCTCCCTCGTGCGATTACTCATATATTAAAAGTCGGTGGCGGCCCAAGTCTATTGAATGCTGCGGAAGCTGTCAAATTCTTCAAATCAACCATTTTGGTGGAGGCTATCGTATCCGACAATGAAGGTATCGTTGAGGCTCTTTTGGCGTATGGTGGTGCTCCAGTGAACGGGAAAGAAGGCGACAATCTCACTCCCATGCAAGCGTGCATCTTATCTACCTCGTCCAATTCTCTCGGTGTGCTTTGTCGTTACGGAGTCGACTTGGAGGGCAAAACTGATGTGACTGAAGCTTACAGGTCTCACAACTATGATTCAGTATCGACGGGTGCCATCAACCTTCAAGTTGGTCTTGAACGTGCCCGTCGTAGAGTCAAATTGGAAGAATCACATATGGTGACACCTCCGCTGTACTTTCAAGTGGCCGGAAACTAAGTATTCTAACAAGATTTAACTTATTTAGGATGAACTTATGAATGCTGCAAGACTGGACAATTTTGGAGAGTTCAAACAAGTGCTACTTGCAAACCCGTCGATTGATATAAACCAAAAATATCCAGAATGCGGCAACAAGACTCTGTTGCTCGTGGCGTGTCAGTATGGATCTATCGATATAGTCACGTATTTATTGAGCCTTGCAGCAAATCCCAATTTGGTCGACGACCAAAATCGCAGTCCACTTCACCATGCCTGCTCCTTTGGCTCTCTCGATACTGTAAAAGCTCTAATTATGGCTGGAGCTTTGGTAGACGCCGAAGGAATAGACTATAGAGACGCATTCTGGAACACCACGTGTGTCAGGCCTATCGACCTGGCTTGTGAAAAGGGTCATATACATATAGTTAGGTGGTTGCTTGACAGTGGAGTGAGTCCTTCCGCACTCGGGGAAGGGAAGGTGCATCCGCTCGGTTATGCGGCGATAGGAGATTCTGTTGAAGTCATCCAGCTACTTTTATCAAAAGGAGTGGATGTAGACTGTATGAGTAAAATCTCTGGCAGCTCTGGTACCTCCCTCTTTGGTGCTGCCATGCTTGGAGCTGAGAATAGCGTTGCGTATCTTATCAATGTCGGGGCTGACGCCGAACGTGCCGCAGAGTCGGAGGGAATGGAAGCAGATGGTATTCGAACTCCAAATCTAACCCCATTAGATATCGCCTGGATACGAGGATATTCAAATGTAGTTGCTCTGTTACTCCCGAGATACCCTCCGTGTAGAGATAGGAGAGTCAACTTGGAGTTGTCGTATATGGGGGTTTGGCTACCGTACGTCCTGACCCCATTGATTGTGGGTGTCGTATATAATCAACCGGAATTAATCAAGGTGATATTAGAGTATGGGCAGGACACAGAGGTGGTGCAGCCACTTGGGACGTCGTTTGAAATGTTTGACGCAACAGCTTTGTTGTGGGCCTTTTGGCATGGAAGGACCATCATTGCTAGGATGCTGCTAGATGCGGGAGCTAATATCAAAGCACGAGTAACTTCTAATCGATCGTGTCTGCACGTAGTCGCAATCAGCTCATTTACAGGAGACCGCATCAAGTCTGATATGATTAGGCTGGGGAAATATTATGGAGCTGATCTTGATGATAGAGATGCAGATGGTTGTACGCCTTTACATCTTGCCATTAGCAACAAGGCCTTACAGACTGTAGAGACATTGTTGGAGCTTGGAGCTAGCGTGAATATAGCAGATAATTCGGGCAATACTCCATTGCATGAAGCAACTAAAGAGAATGCTGTCAACTTGGTTACTCTCTTGGTTAATAAGGGTGCTGATAAAAGTAAAGCGAATAAATCGGGAATGACAGCCTTGCAGATTGCTGAGAAGGCAGGGTATCATAGTCTAGTACGGTTGTTGAAGTAATTGTGGTGTAAGATAGCAGAGTGCATGATGGATTTGGGGGGTACCATGTAAAATGTTAGCCTTCTAGCTCGTAATATACCGTTGAACCTTACAATGATCGTGAATTACAACTCTTGTGTATTTACTGGTGATTGAATTGTTGTATGAGATTCTATATCAACACTTTTCCAAATGCTTCATGATGCAATGAACAGACTGTTTGACCACTTCTTCAACTGATGAGACTTCAGTATTGAAAATCTCTAAATCTGCGACCTCCTGTACTACTTCTTCTGCACCTTCTTGTGTTTCATCCGCCTTGGTTTCAGGTAGCTCACCAGTAGCTCTCAATATCGGTATGTTGTACTTGAGGTAACCAGGCCATACGTAATTATCAAAGTATCCTGGTGGCTCAGGCCAATATCCTTCAATTGTCTGATATCCTAGTGAGTAATGCCAGCTTAGGGACTCGATAAAAAAAACATTCGGAGAATATTAGCATACCTGCTCGCAGTCCTCTCCTACGCTTCAACTCCTCATATCTCGTATGTAGTGCGATTTTGATGTCCATCAAGTTTATCACTCGTTTATCACACTAAGAGAGACGGAAATATGAGACACGACCTCTCGAGAATCAAAGTCATACAGAAAAGTCGTACATATAACAGAAACCCATCCAAGAACCAGAACCGCGTCGGCGGTTTATTCAGCAATGATTTCTCAACGAGCGATTGAAGAGATTGTAGAGTAGTAGGTGAGACTTGACTGTCGGATATGACTGGTCGGTTTGGGTTGAGGATATGTTCGACGGGCAGTGTGGGTAATCGTTCTAGATCAGCTACAAAGGCATCAAAGTCTATTGCCTCTGCACAGTCCCAGTCCTGGATACCGTTTTTGACTGGAATATAGGAGTCTATGTCGCAACAGGCAGCGAAATTGTGTGGGTTTGTGTTGCGTGATGAAGCGAAAAGCCCGACCAATCTACATATCTAGTGATTTTACCAGCTTTGAAATGCTTATCCATGTGATAAATGGCTGAGTTTGCGAAGATCCTCGTAAGCCTGGCAGAAGTGGGGCAAAGTGGTTGATGTTTTGAATGATCTGACACACACACATAGAGTGCAGAATCATAAATACCATTCGGATAACGTTGATTTTCCACTACACGATGCCCCTAAAGTGCGAGACAAAGCTGTCAGTTGTCATACGATATGTGCAAGCAGATAAACATAACACGAATATACAAGCTTTAAACAGAGACTAGATCGATATAATTTTGCAAGCTCTGACATACCTCCGATGCCAACAATTACCGTCCTCATCCTCCCTCTGGCTTGCAATCTGGTGGGTGCCAAAATCACGAATTCTTTCAGGAGCGTACAACAATTCGAAGCATTTTAGTCGCTTTCCAACGGTGGAACTCAAATCATGGTCATATTCAGAAGTTCATTTCCAGACAGTATCATACCGGCTGATGCCGACGTGTACTCGTTCCTAATCGAAGGAACAAAGGTACTCAAAACACCACAAGTTTGTCGCAAACGATGTTTTGCATGAGGATGAGCATCGAGAAGAGTATCCAACCCAATCTACCATTTATCATATACGAAACGTTCAAGTCTGCCAATTTTCAACGACAAAAAACCACCTGTAAAACACTGTATGCTAACACATCTCTTTACATTATAGTGCGCTCAAGCTCCCAAAAAAGACAAGGTAGCTCTAATCGATGCCACCACTGGAGAATCACGTACATTCGGCCAACTAGTAGAGCGCATCGAACTCTTCGCCGCTGGTCTAGTCAAGAACTACAACTTCAAACCTGGCGATGTCGTACTCGTTTTTTCGCCAAATCACATCGACTATGCTACAGTTCTCTTTGCCGTTAGTCGGCAAGGCGGAATCACCACTACCGCAAACCCGACATACACAGTTCCGGAGTTGACGTACCAACTGAAGGATTCGGGTGCCACGATTGTCAATACTGTGCCTGACTCGTTGCCTACGGCGATGAGTGCGTGCAAGGAGGCTGGAATTCCTGATGCTAGAATATTGCTGCTGGGTGATTCATGGGCTGGCGCTCAAAAGCGGATTCAGGACGTGTTTTCGACGCAGATTCCGCCCCGATACGTGTATACTCGTGAGCAAGTATGGAATCAACCTTGCTATCTTGTTTATTCTAGTGGCACTACCGGGCGTGCAAAGTACGTAGTCAGAGGGTGTGGTGCAGTGTTGTCTCAAACAAGTTCCAATTGTAATTCTCTCTCTTTTTTCTGCTAGAGGTGTCGAACTGACACATCGCAACATTGTCGCAAACGTCATTCAGCAATACGATATGGAAAAGATGTATCTGGACTGGTCTAATGACAGATGGGTCGGCGTGTTGCCCTTCTACCACATTTACGGATTGTAAGTGACCATTTCCCATATAATAAGCGACTAACCCATGTTTTGGAAGCTTTTTATACATCTTTGCAAGGCAATCTAACTGTCACCCTTCTTTGTTGCTGTAGAGTACGAGTACTACACGATGGTGAGAGCTTTTAAATTAATTCGACAAGTTAGATTGCATTAGATTAAGTCGAATGATTTTTCCCTCCTCATTAGCCACATACAGAACCATCCCGCTCCTAATCGTTCCTAAATTCGACCTGGCAAATTTTTGCTCTTTGGTGCAGAAATACCGGATAACGGTGGCTGCTTTAGTACCTCCGATCATTTTACGTATGTCATAGAATTTAACTTTCATGAAGCTGGGAAAGACGGAGTCTTTTGTTGCAGCTACTGACTGATTTATCCTCCTGGCTTCAGGTCTAGCAAAAGATCCTATTGTAGATCAATACGATTTAAGTTCAATCCGATATATTTATTCTGGTGCTGCACCGTTATCAAAGGAATTGACATTGGAATTCAAGGTCGGTGATCATTGAATCATGTTGCATATTACTTTTTTTTTTTGGCTTGACAAATCCAAATTTTCGACATTTTCAGGCACGATTACCTGGCAAACCGGATATCCTACAAGGTGAGCTATTTTGACATATGTATCCTAGTTTCGAAATCTTACGTCTCATTTTGAAATGTTAGGGTGAGCAAAAATCTTGGCTTGATTGGAAGCATACAGATGTTCGTATTGTCTGACCTTGAATCCACTCCCTATGTGTCCAGCTGGGGATTAAGCGAAACCAGTCCCACGGCAACTATAACGCCCATGGACTGTATTGTTCCTGGTGCTTCTGGCAAACTAATCCCATCAGTGGTATGGAGAATGGCCATCTTGTCGGTTCTCTTTTCGCTCAACTCCTTGCGCTAATACGCTTATCCTCTTTTCCTCAGGAGATTAAAATCGTACATCCCGAAACTGGAATAGAACTAGACTATGATCAAGAGGGAGAGATTTGGCATCGAGGACGTATGTTTGTGCACACATTGCGAGTTGATCAAGTTTGTTGAATGCTGTGGCTGATGCCATGTCGTTTTTAGCCAACACCATGAGAGGCTACTGGAATGTGAGCAAAATATTCACAACAAAGTTGTTCCTTGGAGTATCGTGGGCTGAAATTAAACCACCTGTCTGGTTTGTAGAATACCAAGGCTACTCGAGAATCAATCGACAACGAAGGGTGGTTTCGGACTGGAGATATGTAAGTGTGGCCAGACGCAACGTCCTTGTGTCCTCTTGACGGTTGTGATTTTGAAAAAGTCGACATCCGACCAGTGTTCCTCCACAAACGTTTTCTTTCACCAGTGGTTACATTGCTGCAAATGGTCATATATACGTTGTGGATCGACTGAAAGGTATTGCTCGGGAGTTGGTCTTTCACTTTTTGGAGTGTCAGAAAAGCACGAACACAAAAGCGATAAATGAGCTTAATCCAAACCCTTTCACTGTAGAATTAATCAAGTATAATGGTCTGCAAGGTATGAAACGGAAGGAGGAACAGTAACAAAAGAAGATGGCGTTTGGCTTCACAAAGGAAACTAAATTTTTCAAAACACACTAATAGTCGCACCAGCAGAACTCGAAGCCCTCCTCATATCCCACCCAGCAATAGCCGATGCTGCTGTTATTCCATTCCCTGATGCTGCAGCGGGTACGTGTGGGTGCAAAAGTGATGTTCAATGCCATTTCCATTACGAGTTCCACCTTTTTCTTTCTTCTTCTCCAACGTAAGCAAATCTCAACGTCCCCTCGTCATGTTTCGCAGGAGAATTACCAAGAGCTTTCGTAGTCGCCAAAGCAGGTAAACACACCCCAACGTTGGCAGCAGACTTGTTCAAGTTTGTCGATGACCAAGTAGCGCCACATAAGAAGCTCAGAGGTGGGATATGCTTTGTGGATGCGATTGAAAAGAGTCCGTCAGGTATGTAGTGTTGAAGTTGGTTTGATTGTGGGAGTGGTTCCATTCTCGCCAAGTAACTTCCCCTTTTTTTGGTGTCTTCATAGGCAAGATTCTAAGGAGACTATTACGAGATAATCCAGGAAAGGGTTTAATTCCTCATCCGACGTCTCGTGGTGGTGGTGCACGACTGTGAACGGAGCATTCGTAATATCTGTACCTCTCTTCTTTTTGGTTTCAACAATCTCTAATAAATTGGAACCTTGATGCTACAATATGATGAATGGTTTGCCTTGTTTTTGTACAAGATTTTACAACACGATGATGGTTTCTATGTGACAATACTCTCTCTCTATATACACCAACAAAACAAACCTCAATCTGCCTGATAGATCAACTATCCCGTCAGTTTCTCCTACCACCATGATCCTCATCATTCCACACCAAACGAGCACGTTTAGGTACTTTCACCACAACAGAATCAGCATCAGAATCCGGTCCCTTTCTAACAGTGGATGTTGGCGATGTAGTGCTACTTCTCCCATTAGCAGTAGCTCCATTGGTTACTGGCATATCACCTCTACCACTCACTTTTCTACTACCGTTATTCTGATTACTTTCATGGACTCCATTCGATTTAGACACGTCATTCTCACACTTGACGTGATTATAACTTGCAGGTGGTGTCGGAATATTGGGAATTGGGTCAGTTGACTGTCTAGATCTTGGTTCAGTAGCGAGGCTGATTTGTCGTAGTGCTAGTTTGTCTATCTTGTCTGATGAGTGTTTACTAGTCGGCCTTGGTTCGGATAATTTGACTGTTGGGCGTGGCGCTTCTACTTTATCAGATTGTCTTGGTTTTGGTTGAGTTAATTTGATTGTTGGGGGTGCTGATGTGTCTATTTTCGTGATTGATCGGCGTTGTAGTGTTTCTAGTTTGATTTGAATGGGTGATTTCACGAATTCGTTTCGTGGTTTCATAGCTTCAGGAGCACGTTGTTGTTGATGGGCCTGTTGTTCTTGTTTTACGTGGTCTTGGAGATGCGAGAAGACGCTGATCTAAAAACATAAACTTCAGTTAATACTCCGAATCTGATAATTGTTTTTTGGTCGTCTGTAGCAAACTCACATGCGGAGGAAGGTCCACTCCACAATCGGGTCTTGGACAACTTGATGCATTTCCAAGTACTCTTTTAGGTTCACCCATCCATGCAGGTCTGATGGATGCCATCATGATATCTGCTATTGATGTGGCTACTCGCATTCCACTTAAGAGTGCTCCATGCACTAAAGCAAAAACAAATATGGTCACATAAATATGTCGAATTCTCGACACTCGAACCGTGGATGTATCTACCTGAAGCGGGATACTGCCTATTCGTATGCTCTCCAGCCCAAAAGATCTTGCCAGCTATGGTAGCAGCCATATGATCATAATCTTGACCTAGTGAATCAACCATTCAGCATTCAAGATTCATGTTTTGCAAAATGGGCAAGCCTAGTCATAAACAGAGCCAAATTATCTTTTTTTTTGGCTCTAGTTTACCTGTTGCACGAGGTGAGATCGAACTATAACTCCCTCTCGCATAAGGATCTTTCGACCACCTCGTAATAACAGACTCGATGGGTTTTGGTATTGGTGCTTGATCACGATGTATGGCGGTAAGAATGTTCATCAACTTTTCAACAATCACCTAGTGAAATAAAGTCAACATAACATCGAACGCACATGTCCTGAATTGGCAACACACTCACTAAACCACCAACTCCAACATATAACCTACCTGATCAGAAACCTGCTCAAGCTCCAACGCAGCCTTCCCAGAAATGAAAGCAACCAGTACTGGCATACCATTAATATTCGTCCAATTCCAAATATGGAATGATATACCACGACTCCTGGAATACTCTTCTGGACTATGTGAGACTGCCTCGTTCAAGTATCCAAACGAATCTATATCCGTCCTCCAGAACTGTCGGGGAAAGACCATGATGACTTTGTTGAGCAGTCCAAATCCGAGATTTGTGATTGCTGCTGCTTTGTGCGATGCACAGATGCTTAGAGGTGGTTCGAATTCAATCATTCCTGATTTGAGAGAGCCCAGGGGTGCAGTCACCACCTTTTGGCCAGGAAGGAAAACTCAGTGAGTGGGGTGGTCAAAAAAATCTTCAAGGTTTTATCTTCTAATACACAATTTGAGATTCCACTCACCACAGCATCACACTCCAAAATGGTTCCATCGGTACAACTAACATCAACCATACCAGCATCCTTCCAGCTAATCTTATCTACAGTCTTGTTATAATGTATCGACTCCTTCAGCCTCTCGACATAGGAAACGGGCAACTGCGAGAAACCACCTTTTATCATGGCGTGGAAACCCGTGAACCCATACTCGTCGTCCTAGGTTTTAGAAAACAATCAGCGGGGGACTGTTGTGACTGTCTGAGCTCGTAAACCAAAAAAAATCACTTGCACATTCTCGTGGAGGAGAACTGCATGCTCAAGCTCGTCAACTCTGACCCATCTCACCTGATCCCAATGATGCAACGACAAAGACTCTAGCGTAGTAGCATTTGCAAACTCTAGATGCGCAACATGCCACGAAAACAACCGATGATCCGTATGTGTCATATATCGGAACTTGGGATCACGTTCCAACCAGTATTGAATCATCGCACCAAGAGATGGTGCTTCAACACCATGTTGGGTCGATCGGATTGTATCTCGATCATCGTTCGTTAATTGTGGTGTTCCGTCGTCGAGCAAGATTGTTTGGCATGCTTTTTCGAGACATGCGTTGAATAGTAGCTAGGAATTTGGAAGATTTGAGAGAAATGTAGAGAAAAAAACCAGCATTCTGTCACTGAAAGTGACTCGTACCTCAATCTCCTTGTCTTTATCGTCATTGACTCGTGCTCCATCATAATCATACAACGGACAATCTTCTGGTCCTCTGCCTCGTGTGTAGTGTAGTTCAACCCCTAGTTGACTTCTGAGTATCACAGCCAATGGGTTTCCTGAGGAGAAATACAAAGTCAGCATATTTGCCATAATGCGATGAGTTTACGATATTGTTGCTCTTCTAAACGGTATTACCTCTACCAAAACCCGTGACAATCTGAGCAGCTAAAGCATAGGGAACAGAACGATTGTGTCAGACGCGAATACTCTACCTAGAACATTTCGTTTTTTTCGTCTCACTCACCAAGCTCAACACAAGCAGGCTCTCTCACACCATCATCCAATCCCAAGGTGCTCATCGGTTTCGAAAGTAGCGGAAACGTATAAATGCGTCCACCAGATCTCTGTCTCCCCTCCAATATCGTTATATCAGGACTTATATCGGGCCGGTTATGGAACAGAGTTTGGAGTTCGAGGGCAGTCGATAATCCAGCGATTCCAGATCCAATGATTACGATCTTGGGTCTTCGTTTTTGGCCGTTTATGGGTAGTTGCGGAGATATGTTTACGAGGCCAAAGTTTATAAGTCGCTACAAAGTAAAGAGTATTCACAAGGACGATGTAAGCGTTTTTGGTTCTCAGGCTAACCATTTGCGTTGCTGTGTTTCAACGACCAGATAATTGTCAAACATACCTGCCGTAAACAGAAGTTATACGCATCTTGCACCATCGAGACGGGCAAGAAATCCAATTGCTTTCGCACATCTTCAACCCGGAGGTACGTTAACGGGTTTGAGATAAACATGGCCAGCACCCGATTTCTGGCATACAAATAGCATCGGGAGATACTTGACGCGTCAGTTGCGTATGCTGGAAATAGAGCCTTCTCCTTTAGACTCTGCAAATAAATGAAGGTTGGGTCTTGGTCAAGAAATGTGTAGAAAAAGATCAGGATTTGCTGGCAGAATGTATCGTTGGCCTGAGCCGATCCATTGCGAACAATCCAGCACTGACTAGTAAATCAGACAATCAACAACTTACGACGTCTATAGGGGATATCCGGCTAGCATCAGCAGCCAGTTTGTCTTCCATTACATCCTTGAGATTGTTGAAGACTGCATCCCAGTAAGCCAAGCTCATGGCTGCCCTGATTGGCCCGTATGCTCTGTATGCTCAGGGCTTACAATCCTCCAACCGTCGCTGAGCTAGCCACACGTCCACTGTGAACAGTTTTGTTTTTCACAGTAAAGGCGTTCTTTTCAGGACCAAGACGGATGAACTTGCCGCGGAACCGCGTTTGGATGCATCGTATACGCGCATTAATACCTAGGATCCGACCGTCTCTCCTGTTGGACTTTCATGTTGCATAATAAAACTGTAATAAAAGCCAACATCCGACAGCTTCGTTGATTAAGTTCAACGAAACTACAATCGGGAGACAGTAACCTTATTGAACAATGACTTAATATAGAACGAGTCCTAATAAACAGAAACACGTCAGTGACACCACCTGAATCTTAACCCAGAAAACACACATACCAAAAATTCAATAATCTCAGTCATCTTGCCCTCCGAGTTGAAATTAAACACAAAGATATATTCTTGTCCGTAAGGTCTGCCATCTGTCAGTTTTCCTGTCGACGTAGCCTATACACCAGTACCGTTAACACACATTCAAAGCTTTCATGGATTCACGCGAATGTTACCTCCATGACCACAGTCTGAGCAGTAGCAGTGAACCGCACAGGATGCACAGTGACCTTTTCAAAAGTCTTGCCATCTACGTGAGACGCAAGCCATTGTTTCTTGGTCATTGGCTTCATGCCGACCGAGGAAGGCATGATTTTGTATGTCAGGTTGTCTGCTGCATGCTAGTGAATCGAGTAAATGGATTACTTTCACGTAAATTTCGCATTATTAATGAATGGCGACGTTACGGTGAGCTGGAAGTTCCGGGAATTAAGATCCTTGATCCTAAAGAACAGAAACGTTTGCAATACGTTCGGTTCGACCCATGTACACACAACGTTCGCAAACGCATAGTAAAGCAGCTCATACCATTCTTTGACTATAGCGAGATTACGAGCGTCCATGGCTTGACTTAGTTTCTATAAAGCTTGTTGTTGGTGAATGCTCGATTTGCGTCGTACACGAAAGCACACGGGAAATCACACTTTTGCCGTTCAACAAAATACTTGAGTATACTGCAACAGTAGAATGTGTACTTCAACAATGAAATCTATTCTTTTTATGAAATGGAAAAACGACAGAGGTTGGGAATCAACAAGAGAGTAATCGTTTTAAAGACGGCTGGTGGTATAGGCATTGGCGTTCAAATCACCCTTGATCAAGTCCGACGCCACTTCAGCTACAACGATAGCTATACAAAAATACAATGCGTTAGAAGTTGAATTGCCACCAAGTCCTATAGAGCAGGAAAACACCAACAAGAAGCGGTGCAGTAAGAGTATTCAATACCTGGTCCATTCGTATTTCCTGCCGTAATGATTGGAATAACAGAGGCATCCACTACACGGAGGCCTGAGACGCCACGGACTCGGCAATGAGTATCTACAACACCCATTGGATCATCTGAAGTGGCCATTTTGCATGTGCCGACTCTGAGGAAAAAAGCGTTGAGAAACACGTTTGCATAATAGATACTCAGCAATGGTAAACCACTTACGGATGATAAATCGTAACAGAAGTCCTACGTATCTGCTCCTCCATATACGCACGGCTCTTGAAAGCCTCCTCACGACTAACCCCTTGCACACGCACCACCTCATCAACAATCCCCTCATCAGTCCATTCCTGCATCTTATATCCATTCTTGGTAATCAAATCCATAACCACTCGCATTTGTGCATATGCATCAACCATGTCGTCTACATCGGCCTGCACTGAAAAGTATTGCGGGTCGATTACGGGTGCGTCGAATGGGTTTGATGATTTGAGAGAGATAGTACCACGAGATTGTGGTTTGATGAGGGAGACTAGTGGGAATACGAAACGTGGGACGCTACCACCTTTTTCAGAGATTCGAATCAAGTGGGATTTTTCACGGAGGCTTTTCATGTCGAATTTTTGGTTGGCCTTAACTTCGCCGAGTGGTTCTACGACGGTTGTCTATGTGGAGTGTTAGATTTGTTAGATGAGTGGAGTCTGATTTTGTTTAACTGACTATCCATGAATGTCCATCGTTGATTTTTTTGCGATTCCAGTAAAGCCAAATCCTAAGACGAGGCAGAAAAGAACTTTTGGCGTATACTTACAGCAAATTTAAACAACTTGACCATATCAGGGCCGAACGTAGCAGGCACGAAATGAATCTCCATATTCGGTGGTGGCGGACGAGTACGATTGAGTTTCGGTAAACGGTTCAAATATCCTTCTGTCGAGAAGAAGGACAAAGCTTGTACAGCAGATGTGGTCAATACTCCAGTACGGTTTTTGAGGTACTGGTAGAGCCCCGTTGCGAGTAATCCTACTTCTCCATCTACGTAGGCATTGCCCGAGTGGTCTAGGAAGGGTGATGCTGCAAACAAGTCTGTTGAGAAAAAAAAAGATTTGGATGTCAGTAAGGACGGAGAAACAACGACGCTTGAATATATTCCTACGATCTTGCAAGTTTTTTCCGACTCCTGGTACATCAGCAACAACTGGAATTCCATGTTGAGCAAGCTCAGCTTTAGCTCCAACACCAGATAGCATCAAGATTTGAGGAGTTTGTACAGCTAAAAAAAGAGAGAGGGTGTCGTTTTGTAAAGGACAATGATTTGTTTTATAGCATTGCAAGAGTACTTACCACCAGCACACAAAACAACCTCCTTTCGACATTTGATGACCTGCTGCTTCTTGTTAACCTCATAGGCAACACCAACAGTCTTTGTACCCTCAAACAGCACTTTGGTAACTTGAACACCAGTCATCACAGTCAAATTGGATCTATAAGTTTTCGCCTTCTTGTCCATCAATGGCCAAATGTATCCACGAGCAGTAGTCATTCGATCCCCTTCGTAAACAGTCGTCTGAGATATCCCTGATCCAAATTGAGTTTTCCCATTGTAGTCGATTCCGAATGGTGATAGTTGAGCGGCAGATTTTGGTGCAGTTCTAATAATATGTGACCAAAAAAAAGGATTAGAACTGCAAGCCAGTGATGATAAAAGAGCTATTTACACGAGGTGCTTACGGATCAGTAACACCATCTTTTCCTAAACCGATACCAGCCTGAGCAGCTGCCTTCACATAGGCAGTAGATAATGGATTGACGATTCCACCACCAGTTCGAGAAATTCCTAAAGGACCATCAAATCCATGACATCCAGGATCAAGTTCTTCCGTAGGGATGCTATATTTTTCGAGTTTCTTATAGTACCCTAGTGAATTTATTTAAACGTTCGTCAAGCATCAAAAACATCGTCCCTAGTCACTGCTGCTGGTTGTTTTTTCCCTTACGTTCAACAGTGCTCCATCCCCAACCGTCCAATCCCAAATCACGAGACCATTCATCATAGTCTTCAGGATTGCATCGTACCTAATTTTAAATCAGATTGACATGAGTTCGCCAGTTTCACCGCCTGTTGACATTCAAAGAGAATGATAAAGAGAATCAAACAAGAGCACTCACCCATAGCATGGCATTGATAGAAGAACAGCCTCCCATGACCTGACAATTCCGATTATTGAGTTGTTATTGTTATTGGAGCAAAACAAAACCTGTTACAGGCTTCCACAACTATTAGTACAGCAGGCTCTTTCTTACCTTACCACGAGGCCAGAAATGAACACGACTCCTTGTCGCAGGTTGCTTTTCAGTATAGAAATTCCAATCATATTGTCCAGTTTGAATCTGGGCGTAACCACCAGGTCTAATCGGTGTTTCATCAAGTCAGTGTATTGCTCCAAGATAAATGAACTACTGGTCCATGTAGATCAACGTAGACCAATGCAGATAGATGTCATACAGATCCAACAACATGAAAGTACCTACAAGTTAATGATTGCACCAGGAAAGTTGTTGTTGTGGTCTGGTCCTGCTTCAATAAGTAGGACTTGGAGGTGTCGATCCTCAGACAGACGGTTTGCTACGACACATCCTGCACTGCCTATTATGAACAAAGTGTTGGTTTAATCTCTCAAGTTCAACAATCGGGGTTTTAGTGATGTTCCAATGAAGGATGCAGCGACCGTTTACCTGCACCAACGACAATGACATCGTAGCTTTGCTCTATAAGTTAAAACGTTCAAAGTTAGCCGAAAACTAGCCTTTCTTTTCGCGAGAAACCGACGTACGTGAAGCTATTCAAAAAAGAGTGGATAATTCTGGTTAGAAAACAGTTCATAGACAAATAGCGAGCGGTCGGAGCATAAAAACTAGTGGTAGCTTACCCATGATTGATCCAAATAGTTGCACTTATAAGATGTTTTACTGCGAATTGCTTCGATTCAGCTTCTTTCTTCCCGCATGTGACTGATTTTGAGAGAGAGCAACACAAGAGGCTGAGCGAATTCGGCATTAATTCAAATCTCCACTTGAAAATCAAGATGAAGACATGCGAACGCGATCAGCAGCGTTTAGTATCTTATTCGCTTATCCTCACATCAACTTCAATCATCCCCTCTCTTTACCCTATTGTCGCAAAAGAATCCACCATTGATAAAATGCATACACAATTGTTGGGGAAAATCTACCGATCACTGTATTGAGATGCCAGCGTTTCTACTTAAATGTACGTATTGTAGCCATCGACACACTCAACTTGCAATATAACTACCAAGCTGACTTGGAGAATCGCCACACACGCGAATCGTTCTTGATCATATCCAAGAGTCGTTAACTTTAGCGACTCCAAATCCTATTAAAGCGTAAAGAAATGGTTATTGTATCATTCCCATGAAGGTTTCGCACAAAAACAAAAAAAAAGGTCACAGCAGAGACTCAGACGCCTAGAGCGTTGGTGATGATTGGGACAAGCAATTATCAACACAGCGACCCAGAAACAACGAGAATCACATAGGACTGTGAGCAGCAGCCCCATCTGTCTCGGGAAACTGGCGAAGTAAACAATCTCGACTGTCTGCTGAGACATGATCTCTACTCTTCCACGCATCCTTCCTCGTCGCTCTCCTATAACACCTCACCACCTCACCAGCAATCCATTCACCAATCAATGATGTGACGGGGAAGCCACCGCGTATAACCACCTAGTAACTACCACCAGCACACAAAACAGCCGTCAACGACAATTGATGGCCTGTTGCCCTTTGTAATCCCCATAAGCGATGCAAACAGTCTTTTCACCGGCAAACAAGACCTTTGCACGTTGAACACTTGAAATCAAATTCAAATTGTATCGATAACTATTACCTTTGGTTCATCAATGGCTAAACAAAATCCAAATAAATACAGAGGTCATTCGATCATCATCGTAAACAGTCGAATGGGATATTCCACTGTGGTATTACGTGCTGGCATTACAATCGATCCCATATGGGGACATCTGAGCGGGGGATTTTGGTGCTTATTTGAAAACCAAAAAAAGAATGTTCAAAAAGTGGAATGCACAAGACTTTTGCCACCTCAATGTCATGGGTATTTTATTCTAGAAAGGCATGATTAAATTGTATGGTTAGCTTCAAGTTCAATTGACAATCTTATCCGTGGATATGGTATCCTACGTAAACCCGAAACACAGGACATGACGAGCTGAACAACATACCCATGGCATAATAAGTCATTTCAGCTCAAGGAACTTCTATATAGGATAAAGAATGAGGTTGCTCCGCAACGTCTGCCAGCTGGCGTATCATTTCATTTGGCATAGTTCACCTTTGAAAAATTCCAACGACCAAAGTCGAATCAAAGACACTAGAAAGTACCCAAATACCGAAAATCATACGTGTTCTGCAATTCTCCGAGAAAAATACAACTTAATTTAAAAACTTGAGCAAACTATTCACTTCTTCCACAAGACCATTCCTACTCCCTATTGTGGCGCTACCGTAGCAACAGGTCTAGCCAGCTCCTGGTATCTAGCATCCAAGGCCTCAATAATCTCGCTACTATTCAGCTGCAGCTTTCTAGCAATCCCAAGCAGAGCATCCAGAGTTGGTCGATCCAGCATGATGTTGGGGCTAGATAAAAGTGTCTTGACGACAGCCAAGTGACCATATGTAACGGCCCATCGTAGTGGATACCTAAGTTGCATCAATAGGAGTGTGTTAAAAGCAGTGGCTTTTTTTCTGCATCACCACACATACCCATTCCGCGCATTAACATCAACACCCTCAACACCCAACAACCTTGTCACAACATCATCCCTTCCCGAATCAGCAGCAGCACAAATACTCAATTGATCATTCTCTGCTACATCAGCACCAGCATCCAGCAGCCTATTCACGAGATACATACTGCCACGTTTACAAGCATGTGGCAAACCAAACACTGGTTTCTTCGTGTTGTGGTTTAGCAACAAATCAACAATATCATCATGATCTTTCTTTATAGCTAGCACGAGTGCCGATGACGTGTCCACTTTGACACCACTAGCTAACATCAGTTGTATAAGGCTTCTGCGACCTTCAATGGCACATGCATCTAGCGTTGCGACTAGTATATCGTCGGGTAGTTCAGATAGTAGCAGCGCCTGTAATACATCTGAGAAGTCGTGTTCTACGGCGAAAGCAGCGGCTACCTCCAAGAAGCCCTTTTCGACGTGGTATCCGAGGTGGTAAGTTGCAATGACACACGTCCTGTCGAAGCGAGGATCGCGGAGGACTTCATGCCATGGTCGGGTCTTAGATTTTTCGAGGAGGTTTAGTTTGGGAGCGCCAATGCCATATGTTCGTAGTAGCTGTCTTGACCGCACCACTTGGAATATTTTGATGTTGGCATTAGAAGAGAATTGTATGCAAAATAACAATGAAATAGTGATCTAGCATGAATATATTATACCTGGAGATTGAGAAATATCCAATAACGTATGGCAAGTTTTAGCCAACGGCGGCAAACACTTATCTTCCTTTTGAATAATTGCGGTGGACGACTTTGGGACTGGACTAGAATAGATATACACCTGCTCTAGAAGTTCGTTTGGAAAGCCTAATAAGGTATTGGTAGACTTCATTTTTGCTTATTATTGCTATGGTTGTTGTAATGTCGAATGTTGTGATTGTTTGAAAAGTGGTGATATTCGGACGACGTGATTGGACGAGAGCCATGTCGCTTGTACACGAGACATATGACATTGCTTTGCCTATCACGATCAACTTTATATCCTTTTCATTTTCAAAGACGTTCTTCCTGCCACTGCTCTAGTTTACCTCTCCATCAAACCCGCAATGACGCATCTCATCGTATGTCAGCACGGCCTGTTTGGCAATACCAAACACTTGAATTACCTCGTCTCACAATTCTCAAATGCATTCAAAGACCGCATTGTGGTCTTGAACTCGGAGGTCTCTGCTGGTTTGGCAACCAGTACGTATCAAACACTTGTGTTTGGCATTCGATTACACCACAGCAACAATAACAACACTTGTTTACTTACCCCACCTCGGTCTATAGTGGAAGGAATAGATCGCTGCGGAGATCGTCTCTCAACTCTCGTAACTCAAAAAATCAGGCAACTCAATGGCACGTCGACAAAAGTCACAAAGATATCCTTTTTGACATACTCAATGGGCGGCAAGTACACTAAATCCCCTTTTCTGTTTCTGTTCTCGATTTTGACACTACTTTCTTTCAAAAAGGTCTCTACACTCGCTACGCAATTGGAAAACTATACTCTCAAGGCCTCTTTGACACCATAACACCTATAACATTCGTGTCTGTAGCATGCCCTCACATCGGCGTGGAATGGCAAGGAAACAGCATAGTAACAAGCATAACAAATGGATTTATACGGTATTGTGTCTCGTTTACCGGCCGACAGGTTACCCTGCTCGATGATAGTGATACGCCATTGCTGGTCAAGATGTCGGATCCAAATCTACCGTTTATGAAGGGACTATCAAAGTTTAAGGCACTGGATGTATATGCTAATGCACGTGGCGACACTGTAGTGCCGTACTATTCAGCTTCCATCACACCACCGTTGATGGTCAGTCCGTATGCTACTAAAGAGGCATGTGTAGTGGTGAATGGGAAGTATCCATCTATTGTCGCGCCTGCTGGTAGCAAACTGGAATCACAACCACCAATATTTAATTTGAGTGACAAGTATACAGCCGCACAGATACAGGAGCTCCAAGTACTCAGAAAGCAAGCCACACGAGTAGCCACCCTTAGGATATTCTATGTACCGTTATGGGGACTATACTACGACCTTAAACTATGGTTTCTGAAGAATGTTAACGGCTGGATACCATCTAGTAGTAGCAAACCTGATACTGAACCTGATACTACACCTGACACCAGACCCGATGTTACAACAAAGGCTGATCCTCATCAGACGTACATGTTAACACACCTAAACTCACTGCCCTGTCTGAACAAGTTTGATGTACTGACAGATCATCCAGTCGTACACGGAGGCATTATAGTTAGAGATGGGAGGTATGGATGTAAGGACGTTATCCAGCATATGATTGATAGACTGACACCGTGGGTGTAATGACTTGTGTAGTTAGACCATGTGTTATGAATCTCTTGTAATCCCTTGTTTAGTATACAATAACAGCCATCAATAAACATAATAATAAATATTAAGTGTTAATCGATGATAGTTTTTATTGTTTCGAGTTGCAAGCTGTATTTAGCCAAGACTAACAAACTACAAATGCTGTTTTTAGTTAAGACCAACAAACCACAATTGCGGTTTTTTTAGAATATGGCAGCACGGATGAGACTCAAGCATTCGTATACACCAGCCAACCACGAGATACTTCGGATGGTACCAGCGTCACTGTAGTACGCGATAGTGTGAATGTATCGCATCAAGGCAATCCAAGTCAAGGCACTATCAAGAAGTGGTGTTAGTCCACAATGAAAGCAGAGAGAATATACCTTGCACAAACACAACAGAACAGACGATAGTAAGCACAATAGCCAAACTCACACAGCACGAGACTCCAAGCTGACGCCAGCCTCACTGCTCAAATAGGCAGCCAAGATAATCAATGGGAAGGTTTCAACCTGGTTGGCATGTGCGGATTGAGCGCGTAATGCAAGCCCAGTGGCTAGATTACGGGTTTCACGAGGAGCAGAGTTGTCTACACCAGGTCCAGTCTTTGATGTAGCAACGATGTTGTTTGCGTATGGAGTGATGACGTATGTGAGGACTGACATGCTGAGGAGAGCGACTCCTGGTGTTGCTTTCAGGTCTAGTGTGTGTTTTTGGACAAATGTTAGCGTTGTATACTCCTCACGGCGAAAAACGACCCATTTCCGACACGGGCAACGAGTAACAATCGAGACAATGATACTGAGCAATAATCTACAAAACAATTCCAGAAACACAACACCCCAAAACCATGTAACGAAGCTTTTGAATGTTCCACCAAAATGTACACGACATTGGGGACATACCAACGCCGACATATCGAAAGAGTGGGAACAAGATGTTTTCGACGGTACGAGTTTTGAGCAAGTAGGACGTTAAAATACCGACTCCATAGAGAGCAGGAGTGCCCAAAATGATGACTAAAACGGTAAAGGAAACGGATGAGTAAGTTTCAAGATGGAATAGCAGTAGCATATACATACCATTTTGAGGAATCAAGTTACGTTTGCCAGCTGCTTTGCCTTGAGACATCTTTGGTATGGTTGGTTCTAGGGTTGGTTTTATAGAGCTTTAGTTGTGGGGTGGAAGGTGTGACCAGAGATGCCGCTGCAAGAGTTAGGATGGCATTACGAATTTGCCCGATGAAGCTCCCAAAATGGACGTAGAACTGTTGAGTAATAGCGTACTGTCAGTTGTTAGCCTGTGCAAAACACGTAAAAAGACGCGTCTGGCACTCTCATCCACACTCCTCTTAGCAATTCGACATTTATTGAAGTTATGTTCTATATTCATACGGAATATACCACTATTCTAATAATAAAACATGAGAAACCACTATCCTCGTAATAAAACGTTGTGCTTGGCGCCAACGAGTAGAAGTTCCTCCTCCGCTATAAACGCGAGACAGTCAATGTTGAAAATCCATCCCAATGTCCCAGTAGAAAAGTGGTGTTTGGATGGGGACCGGTTTGGGTCCTTGTATGTGTGAAAAGATATTGTCTCTTGAGTCGAGGCTCTAAGAAATGGGAGCTATTTTATGTTGCAATCCTTTGCAAGTTGAATGCGCAGTTTTATGTTTTGAATGAATGTTATCAATAATATTTTAGGTCAAAATAAAGACTAGGCCAAACCACGCGTTGAACCGCGATTTTCGTGCAGCGGTCATATAAACTCACTCCTTCAAGCAATATGCTATGTATCTACGAAAGTTGGGAAAGTTACAGAAATACGATGCGTTACTATATAACAAAACCTCCTCAATGACAGGATCAAAGTTATACCACACAGATCTAGCAATATATTTTAGACAACTGACTACAGATCACATATGATACAGCTACTGCACAAAGCTACTGATGTGTCTGTTCTGGAAGAAATTGTCAATCCTCGACTTTCTTAGAGGGAAGCACGGATGAGATTAATACACTCATGTGCAGCGCCCATCCAACTCATACTTCGGACGATGTCAACGTTACTGTAGTAAGCAACAGTATGAATGTATCGTAAAAAAGCAATCCACGTCAAGGCACTAACATAGAAAGAATCGCGTTTTAGTCAACATTGATCCTGCACAGCCATCCCAAAACAACACCGTTAGCATATTTAAACTCACACAGCGCGTGTCTGCACACCAACACCATTCTGACTACTCAAAAACGCAGCCAGGATAATCAATGGAATGGTTTCCATCTGATTTACATGGGCGCTGTAAGCACGTAGGGATAGACCAGTAGCTCCTTTGCGAAGCTCACGAGGTGAAGTGTTGTCATAGCCAGTGCCGGCTGATGATGCCGTGTGTAATAAGAATTATTACATAACAATTAATAATCACGAATCACGTCAATTGCGACCGTTAATGGCATTAGCGGTCGGGAAAGTCAATAACACATGCGTTGGGTTATTGGGATAGAGTATCTGCGGCGCAGCCTCGCCGACGACAATGACGAGATACTCTATCGGTGGGCTTTTGACGCGACACGACCATCTTTTACACCGTGACGATATTGTTTGCGTATGGAGTGATCCCGTATGTTAGGACTGCGATGGTGAGGAGGGCGAAATTGGGAGTAGCTTTGAGGCCTATGAATAATTGAGGACGGAAATTGATTGCTCTGGTTGATTCATACAAATCAATTCCAACAACTCTCCCTAACATTCTCGTCATCTCAATGCAACATGACATACCAACACCAAAACGGTTAAGCAAGGGAAACAGGATGTTCTCAACAGTGCGTAGCTTCAGCGTATTGCTGACTAGGACACTGGCTCCATAGATAAGTGGAGTGCCCACGATCAGTGCTGTTGTAAAAATTGAAAATGAACTGTTTGAGTACAAGCTCCCACAAGCATAAGATAACCGTTACAGCGCATACCAGATTGAGGCACCAAGTTACGTTTAGGAGCTGCTGGTTTGCGGTACGCCATGTTGTTACTACTTGATATCTATAAGCTTGTGTGCGTTTTTTAAAGTGTTGAATAACTGCCGCGTTGAGATATTGGCACCCGAAGGCCACCTTTATATACCGGGTGAAAATGTCAATTAGACTAATTCACTTCGGAGATCAATGTCAAGTCTCTAGTGTATGAAAGTCACGTCTTCTTTCTTCTTTCTTCGCCGATGCAGTCTGTTTCGCCTAAACTGAGAGACATATTAAATATAAATAGATATTGGAAGCAAGTGCCTAAACTGAGAGACATTTAAAATATAAATAGATATTGGAAGCAAGTGAACAAATATCGCATACAATACAACTGGAACAGAACTAATAGCTGGGTGTTTCTGAGAGGAGTACTGTACTCCCTCGCAACTCTCTTAGAAGGTAGCAGCACAGATGAGACCCATACACTCGTATACAGCAGATGCCCACGAGATACTTCGGACTAGATCATAGTCACTGTAGTATGTGATTGTGTGGACGTATCGCATTAAAGCAATCCAAGTCAAGGCACTATTACGGTAATGGCGAGTGTTAGTTCAACGAATGAATGCTGTGCAACGACAATCACAGCAATGGATATCATCAACCAACAACATCAACAATAGACATCACACGTATAACTCACACAGCACGACTCTCCAAACTAACACCAGCCTCACTACTCAAATAAGCAGCCAAGATAATCAATGGGAATGTCTCAACCTGATTGGCATGTGCAGATTGAGCACGTAATGCAAGACCAGTAGCTTGAGACCGGGTTTCACGAGGAGTAGAGTTGTCGACACCTGGTCCTGTCTTTGATGTGGCAACGATATTGTTTGCGTAAGGTGTAATGGTGTATGTGAGGACTGCAATACTGAGGAGAGCGAGACCTGGAGTTGCTTTGAGGTCTATTACGTGGGGTTGAAGGTACCGTTAGGTTTGGCGAAAAGCAACATAGAGTTCCCAGACGAAAACCAGCACGATCGGGACAAGAGCAACTGGATTCGCTCAACACCATGGTTCTGAGCAGTTTCGCACAAAGCAATTTCAGAAACACAACCGTCAAAAACCATGTAACGCGGCACTTGATGTCCCACAAACTCAATCGCCACAACATACCAATACCCAAACGGTTGAGCATGGGGAAGAAGATCTTTTCTGCAACGGCCTTCTTCAGAAAGTAGCTTGGGAGCACACTAAGACCGTACATGATCGGGGTGCCATATATAATACCTAACAAAGGAATTCAGTGAGTCGAGACTGGAGACTAATGAACCGTGTACGTTTACGCCTACCATCACGAGGAATGAAGTTATGCTTAACGCCTGGTTTGCCTTGAGACATCTTGTTAGGGTGTGTGGTATAAGTAGCAACCTTGAAGTGGAGGTACCAGCTGAAATCATCAGAAATAGGCTTTTCTTCAAAATTTGATCGTAATATCAGTCATCTGGGACGAAAAAGCGCGTCAAATGACGAGCTTCGAGTTATAAGCTTGTAGCTGAAGCGCAGTCTAGCAAATGGTTTGTGAAATTTAGACATAGAGCCTATGCATAATATCCGAAATTTGAATACATCTCATAATCTATAACGATGCAAAAACGTGTCCTTGTTTGACATTCCTCTAAAGTTTATCTGCTTTGCGATCACATTCTATGTCGAAAGCCAAAAACAGTTTATTTTTTTTGGAAGCAAGCTCCCTTTAATACTAGATACCAGCATAGTTCATACGATGGCTAGGCGCGGAAGAAGCACGCAAAGCGAGGTAAGCATCATCTTCATCATTCGTTCTTCCTTGTTTCAGCTTACAAGTTCCGGTGTGTCGTAAATCGCAGTGAACATTTAGCTGACCAAACATCAACTCGATAGTCTCCAGAACGGTATACATCTACTGAGCCATTCAAACTGATTGAATTCATTGAAGAACTACTCCTCAACTCACATCATCATCGACATGTTAGACAAACACAAAACGGAAATGCTGGCGAATCATTCACCATAAGGATGAATGGGTAACTAGCGATGGTCTATCCTTTTCTCGCTATATAACCTACTTACAAACAATATTGCGGTAGGCCTGGTGCTGATGAGACTTGTCGTACGTTCGCAGTTGCTATTGGAATGTGTAGTACGCGATGGTGCTAACTACCACGACGGCACATGTAAAGAGCTGAAAGTCAAGCCAGCTTCTTTATTCCAGAAAGTGATTGATATTTGGCATTCTACCAAGGTACCTAGGAGCGCACAACCTATTTGACCATTGTGTTGAAATCTTTTTTGGCTGATCTTACTTGCCCTGTTCTTATAGCATCCTACGACGGTTTGTCTTGATCAGCACATGGCTCTTCCGTCCTGACAGATTTCACTACAACAGTGGCTCCCTCTTACACACAGGATAAGAAAGCATTTCGGTTTAGCCACAATGGGACGTTCATCACTGGCAAGAGCACACTACAAGATTTGGGACTTGGACAAGATGATGATATACAAGTTACCATAGTGCAGACGTATGTTGTTTTGATTGTTTTGGGTCGGAGCAAAACATCAAGTCGAGGCCAACCAAATAAACTCACCAACATCTCTCTCTTACACACATAGTGGTGGAGGTTACTGCTAGGACACAAAATCAATTTTATTGTACAATCTAAACACTTGCTGGACGATTCTTGGGAGTTGCTTTTTGGGATATCCATCGAACAAAGGGACATTCTACTTGCCCTATTGATGTATTTAGGGAATGTGAGAAGGTGCTGCTTTTGTTTGTATTTTTGATACAGAGAGCTTTTGCTTTGTATATAAAAATGGGACTTTAATAACGGAAACAATAGTTTGCTATGCAATAATTGTGTGATTATGAGATTTTGTGGATTCGTTGGGTTGGAAATTTAGATATGATTTGTGACGCATAAAAAAATCAAGATCTACTCAGGAACACGTAAAAATGTGGTCGTTTATTGATGCCTAGCTAATTTTTTTTTGCCTGCCAAATTGTCACACACCTGACAAAAACCCCAACTGGTGCAGATGAGGTCAAGTCCCAAACCAAACAAAAACGTCATATGAATATTCGTATGAGACAGTCTTCTGTACATCGCTTGCATCTTCCCTCTCGATCTCTGATACATCCTAATTACCATACACCGTCTCCTTTAAACCCATTCAAGCAGCACTTTCAACACAATTTACAACACCAGATTAGATGGAATTCAGCATGGAATCGCTATAGACAGTCTCAGAAAGGTATGCACGCACCGCTCTATTCCCTGTTTCGACATTACATTGTAACCTGTAGCTGACATTCAAAACCACGTATGTTAATGTAGAAACATTTGAAAAAGTAAAGGAAAACTTTGATACTACAAAGATCGTGTGGAGACCCATTCCTACTGCACTTGGACTTATTATTATTGCTGTTGTTGGATTGATGCATGCTAGAAACCGAGAAATTCGACGTATAAAGAGACTGAGAGCTCTTGAAAATGGTGGTGTTCAGGGTGATGACGCCGATAATCTTATTGAGGTTACTGGGCCATGGCAGGTATGAGTGTTTGTGTGCTGAGATCAATGAAGTGTTGAGGATGTTCAGATGTCAAAGCTATCACCACTTTGGGTTGTCTTTTTTCTCCCTCATTAACTCCACTCACGTTTATCACAGTTCCAACTATACGGAACACTACCGCTACGCGCCATATCACGTCTATGGGGCAAGATGAATGAACTTATCGTACCCAAATGGTTACGGAATCCACTTTATGGATTATATGCCAGAGCGTTTGGATGTAATCTAGATGAAGCGCTTGAACCGAATCTAGTCACATACCCAAACCTGGCTTCGTTCTTTTATCGGGAGCTTAAGCCGGGTGCGAGGGTTATTGATCCTGAGGCTGAAGTGGTATGTTGCAGGAAATGGAAGAAAAAATTCTGATAAACTCGCATCATATGTGCTCATACATACATACTGCTTGATAGGTTTCACCAGCAGATGGCAAAGTCCTCAATTTCGGAATCGTAACAGACAGACGCGTCGAGCAAATCAAGGGAATGACATACTCACTCGATGCCTTCCTCGGCAAACCTAAAAAATCACAAAACCAGCCAAACCCACATACCCAAACAGCTACATCAGATACCACTATGGTAAACGAACACGATACATCATCACACCTAATATCAGAAGCCCATTTCGCAAATGTGAATAGCGTAGACTATTCATTGGAGAGGATGATGGGTGATCAGAAAGATGTGCCGCTGAAGCCACTTCATATGGAAGGTGACAAGGCGCTCTTTTTCGTAGTGGTGTATCTGGCGCCTGGTGATTATCATAGGTTTCATTCGCCTACGGAGTGGAAGGTTGAGAAGAGGAGACACTTTCCTGGTAAGATGATGGTGTTTGTCGAGATTTCTTCTTTTTCCTTCTTCTCGCGTTTAAACCCTTTGAAACAAATGAACTGAAGAGTAGTACTACCATATAGGTGAATTGTTTTCAGTTTCACCAAAAGTAGTCAGTCTAATGCAAAACCTCTTTGTACTTAACGAGCGAGTCGTGCTGCTTGGTAACTGGAAGCATGGCATGTTTTCAATGATTCCTATTGGTGCTACTAATGTCGGGTCTATCAAGATTAATTTTGATGAGGTGAGTAAAACGAAGCGCGGCTACTTTATTCCTCGATGCTCTATGACCCAGAAAACCTCAGTTGCTAACATCCATCATATCTCTTAGACACTAAGAACAAACGTAGTAGACTCAAACACCATACCCGGCACATACTCGGAACGCATATTCGACCATCTGCCACTCAAAAAGGGCCAAGAAGTCGGTGGTTTCCAGCTAGGAAGTACTGTTGCCCTAGTCTTTGAGGCGCCCAAGACATTTAGATTCTGTTTGGAGAGTGGACAGAGTATTAAAGTTGGACAGGCTGTTGGGTATTTATAAAAAATTGAGGGGTGGTTTTATAGTAGTTGTGTGTGTATAGTGAATCAAACAACGCCTCATTATTGACGACACCATTTTGTGGGGGGTTTTTGGTTCTTCTTGGAGGGAGGAAATGGGCATTTTGTTTGCATCGTTGTGTGAGGTGATTTTTGGTTTGTCTTTAGAAGGGGGAATAGTAGAACAAAGATTTAAAGCATTCTACCTGCTACGCCTGCTCGACTGATCGCTCTGATGATACTTGAGATGCCGAGATGTCACAGTACTTAGTGGAGCTTCTAGGGCAAACTGGCCTAATCAGGTGGTCCACTTCAAGTTTTTTTGGTCTAGCAGTTGCTTTCTTCGGGAGTTTTAGATCCCCAATGCTTTCTCTGCTGTCTTCTCATACGGAACATGCTCCTCGTGTTTGACTCTTCTGCCCAAGTTGAAGTTGATGAAGTCAGTCATTGACCCCTTTACTCAATTCACGACCTTAATAAGTCTTTCTTGGTGACAGTGTCTCTCTTAGTCAATCTTCGATGCTTGGATTTCAGTGATACTAAGGACTCGTTGGAAGGAGGAGCTATGTTGTTGTGCTTGCAAACGCATTCTATGACAAGCAGCAAGGTTTTTTTTGTTCAGGACATGATGAAGTTGTCATTTTTTCGGATTCCCTCTTTGTGCTCGTCGCGAAGCAAACAAGAATCAAATCCAGATGAGCTGTCAAGATCTAGTTAAGTTGCCAAATAAATCATGTGCAATTGCACGATACCGATACTGTCTGCCGGTTTATCTTGATTGTCTCAGCCTTGGGCCTCTTATGGACAAAGCCTTGAACAGTTTCATTTTTTCACAAACTTGCCTCAAAACACAATATGTCGTATATCGGCTGGCTCAAGTAAGGACAGTACTCTATTATCGAAAGGCGATATGTCGAATGCCTACTTGCACGATTCTCAATCGGCCTCCTTTCGTTCTCGGCTTCAAATCTCGAACTGAAAGATTCCAAACCATATTGGCTTGCTCATCAGGACTTGGATCGTATTGTAATCAACGTAATCCAGTACAGACGTAGCTAGCAGGACGAAGAACGAAGGCTGTTTTCCTCTCTTTGGGCAATCTCAGCTCTTGCATGGACTACAGATTGATGATCAAGATCAAGGACGAGCATCTTGGGTACGAGAACTTTTGTTTGCCTCTTTATCTATGATGAACTATGAATGAAATAGGACCTTTCACCTCTACTACCAGGGGACTAGATTAAGAGGTCACCAGTTGTGTGGACTATTGGTCGAGCTGGAACTAGAACCGCTACAAATCTCTCATCAATCTAGAGTGAAATTAATTTGCCTACGATAATCCAACTCTGAAACGAGATCCGGAGCTTTTGAAGGTGTTACATGTTCTTGTAGACAGTTTAATCCAAGAGACACCAGTTTGGTAGATTGTTTGAAGCATTCTCGGTCTAGGTCTTCTGAATTCAAGCAAAGTCTTGTTTGATAATGGTGGTGCCTAGTAGGGATATGTTCGGAACGGATGTTACCGATTTGTCCAAGCTTATGGAGCATGGAGCTATTACGGGGAGAAACTTTTGTAACACCAACGGGGCTGCTCGCAAGTACCAATGAGATCTTTATGAGAAGACTCGATTTCATATTGTCTAGTGCAGGCTCGTCAATACTTGCTTTTTTTGACGCGTCGTACCATGGATCTCCTTGTTCATTCAGCTATACTGGTATATGAAAGTAGCTGTCCTTCTGTAAGCTGAAGGGTTGTGGAAGATCATAATATCTGTGTGTTTGATTTAAGAATCTTGTGTCTGAAGCTCTCGAAGTGCAACAAGTGTTTTAATCTAATTATAGATTACTCACGAAATCGCTTCAATGGAGGCGTACTTATACCGAACACCAGCAAGGAGCGTGATTTTTCTAGGTTGAAGCTCGTCACAGCAAGGAATCATATATACAACAATAAGGATCTGAAATCACCAGCCAGCCGCTACAAACGAGGTCACCTTTCACGCTAAACACTACACGCTGTAGCAAGACATCAAGACCAATTGGCGAATATAGTGGATTTATGTTTGATAACATGTATTGATCGCCATGCTGATGGCCAAGCTAAGTTATCTGGATGGATACCGACAGAGTCCTCGGCTTCCGTACCAGGGTCCATACCGTGACATTCTAGATTAAAAATAGTGCCAGAGTTCCTGATCGTCAGCGTTTTATGCCTCAACTCGCAACTCCGTCAACTTTTTTTTCAAGGCGTGCTTCAACTCCGCTCAACAAGCTTCAAAACAAAGCATGCACCCACGAACGGAGGATGTTCTGCATCAAGAGGGAGCCAAATTTACACGCATGCCACATATATTTGCATATCAAAACTGCTCTCAAACATCGACAGCCTGTCACAAAAAGGATGTTGAAAGTTTTGTGCAAGTATCCGCGACTCCAAAAAGACACATGCTCACTTACAGGATTGAACTGTAGACCTTGGCGTTATTAGCACCACGCTCTAACCAGCTGAGCTAAGCGAGCAAGTAGAATGCCTTCAATGTTGTTGACGAATGGAGGCGGTTCGTGTTGGTTTAACAAGGATGTCGCTGTCAAAGTTTGTAGCCCCTCTTGTCCAGACGACTGTATGGATATGGGGGCTGTAGCCGTGTAGTAGATTGGACTGTTTAATCGTTTGAGATAGACAATGTCAACCTGGGGGAAAGATGTCCTTTTGTCATTTCTGTTAGCCGCTTTTCAGCTACACAAGCGATCAAATGGTTATCTTCTCTCATCTACAAGCACAAATGATTTTTGTTTTTCGTTTCGTATGGTCTTTGGGTGTGAGGTGAATGCTTCCCATTTTGAAAAGTTTAAAATAATCGGCGTTCAATCATCTAGTTTCTGCCAAACGACGTTTGCGAACATTCCTTCGATACAAGTACTGCGATGATCAGTCTGTGTGTGGTTAGAAGGACTCTGTCGGTTGTGCATGATATTGGCTAATATCGGAGATTTTGAGACCTTCAAGTTGACAGATATCTCTTTGAGGAAGTATTGATGTCAATTCGGACAATGTGTCAAGCTGTATAATCGTATTTTCTCACAGCAGCGATCTTTAAAGAGCTCAGAAATGCGTTCAATAGCCTAGTATTTTGACTTGCGTCCACTCCAAAATTTTCAGACAATCCAAACACTCCAGGTTTCATCACCAATCTCCATAACCAAATAGGAGAATTATGAGGTCTCGCTATATAAATAACAGAATCTAGGATCTAGATGACATGTAAACCTTTAGGAGATTTGAAGTAACAAATATCGTGATTTCTTCACATTTTCGAGTCTGGCATATCATCTTTGAGCAAGATATACGAGTTCACGTTTGCGAATACACGTTAAATACTAACAAAACCTTCCGTCTGCTCACATACTGAAATATGCAAACATGGTTCAAATTGACTGGTCACAATGACTCCTGGCGCTTTCGAAAAAGCCGAACGCTTCCAACAACTTCCAAACCAACAAGACAAGCTTCAAGCTGAATAAAATGGCTGCAGGAATTGAAACCAGACGAAACATTGTAATTTGTGAGTAATAACTTGCTTCTTTTGTCTCACTCATGCTTGAACTGTCAATACCAAACGTGCATCAACTGCATCCTTCACGAACCTCACATAACACGTCATAGCAGCTATATCATTAATATTCCATCACTAACAAACATTCCCTGCACAATCTTTAGCAATGGACGGTTCAGAAACAAGCACAAAAGCACTCAAATATTTTCTCGACGAATGTCTCAAACCAGAAACAGACCATATCATCCTACTATCAGTGGGCAAACCGATGAAATGGGATGACTTTTTGGAAGCTGCTGTTGAGGTGCCTGCTCATGGTTTTGAAAATCACATGGCATGTCACATCTGACGCATTCGATTTATATGTCTATTAGTCATTCGCACCAGATCCAGAAATCGGCGGTGAAGAGCAAGCAATCGGACAAGCTGAATCAGAAGCCAGACAAGTGCTTGAGGGATGCGAAAAGGTGGTGAAGGGACATGCACTTGCTGGGCAGATTAGTTATGAGTTGGCGCCGATACATGCTGATAATGCGAGGGATGCTATTGTGGATTTTGCTACTGAGGTAAGTACGATGTCTTCCATGTCTTTTTTTTTGCCCGTCCAGATGTCAGACATTCATAACATTCTCTCTAAGAGAAAAGCAGAATTGCTGGTTATGGGCGCACGTGGACTGTCACCATTGAAGAAATTGGTGATGGGAAGTGTCTCTGATCATGTCCTTCATCACTGCCCTTGTGCTGTCTTGATAGTAAAGTGACTGCAAAAAACCACATGCCATATGGTTCTTGTACAGCAGTTGTATATGTAGTGCAAGTGAAAAATACAGTTATGTACGCACAAATGATGAGGTTTTTGTGTTTCTCAAGCTTATAGTAATGATTCTGGTGGTAGCTTGTCCAACAGATTCTAAAAGTGAAAAGTGTCAGGCCAAAAAAAAAAAAAAAACTCCATATAGATTTCCAGACATACTTGCCTTTGCACGTTTACGTAACTCTTCATCCTCCCTGCTACTCATATTACTCGACGACACGGCAATATCAACGACCCTCGATACATAGCGACAGGCCAATGCCAATACGAGCGATGCCTTACCACCAGCAATGCCACTATCAGATGGCTCAATACTACTAACACCACCACCACTAGAAGCAGCATTACTTGTCAAGTACCCAGTGTATTCACACAAGTTCAAACCAGCCTCAACAAGTGAGGAAGACAGTTTGTCTTGCAGAGCAATATGACCTGGATTGATACCATGCAATACTAAAGACGTTGGTGATTCACCGCTATTATCGGGTTCATCTGGCATGGTTCCACTTTGTGAGAAGATAAACAAGGCATCTAGGATCTTTAAAAAGGTAGTGTATACACTCATGACGATTGCAGAGGAGATCCTTTTACTATATGCACGTCGATCATCAGATCCACGTTCAGTAGTAAGTTTAG